AGAACTGTTTACTTTCTCATCCTCAGGGCTCTTCAGTCCCACCATTACTTTTTCCTGGATGCGAGTTTGTTATATACCAGAGACATTACACGGTCCCTGAGGCCTGGACCTGATTTCCAGGTTGTGTTAAACTCGCCAAGGCGCACATGCTGGCGTCTGAGCAGGAGCTGACCCTTAATCAGCGAAGCGCTGCCAACAGCAACTGAAAGCCACAATTATCTGCCCTATAGATAGGTAGGTTGTATACAGGGGGCCAGGGGCTGTGGAAAGGGAAGAGCCTGTCAGGGGAAAGGGGGAGGTGGGGGGAGAGCCTGAGCTAACCTCTGTGGCTCGTGTTTCTACTGTGCACTAATGGACGCCTGTCATCGTTATGGACAGAAACAGGAGGGCGCCTGCCAGCTGCATGACCCCCATAAAACAGAACAGGAAATCCTAGCAGGGAATGAAAGGAAAAGAGATTCCTTCTTTTTTTTCTAATCTTCTCTTCAGTGAACCTTCCTTTACTCTTTGGCCTCTTGTTTATGCTGCAAAACTGCAGTGTCACTCATAAAACTGGAGAATATGCTCCAAGTATGTAAGCAAGTCGAGGTGTCGAGTGTGCTGTTCCTGAAATGAATCTTAACCGATTAGTCTCTTTGCACAGATTGTGTTACCCTCTGTTTCGTATGCGAGTACAACACCTCTGTTTTTTACCCCAGGCTGTTTTTATATTGTGTCTGTCACGCTGGAAGCAACGTGTATAATCATTACATACAGTGGTTTGCCCTTCGCTCGGTAACCGAAGTCCAGGGTCTGTAATGTGACAGGACTTTGTCACACCTCTGTCAGTGGTGTCCACTGAAACGTGACAAGAACTTTATCAACGGGCCTTCCAATCAGATCCCCAGGAGATCATGCGCAAACACGCTGAACACAACGTCCACAGGAAGCCAGATTCCTTATTACGGCCAATAAGATAGCAAGACAAGCTTTATTGTACTTCTGAGGCTACACATTAATCCACTCTGTTGCAGCCTGCAGAGCCCATCATGTGATAAACTAACTCATTACCAGTAGTACAATCATAATTACAGAGGAATCTTTGAGGATGTGGCTACACTGAAAAAAAGCAACCATAGTCCAAGCAGCAGCTAGGGCAATCAAAAAAGAAGGTGACAAACATTAACGGTCAGGATCACATGATATTTTGAAGAATGTGTGCCTTTGTGCAAGAGAGGAAGAAAGTGCATGATCGTCTGTATTTGCATAGCCATGTCTGCTCGTGTGTGTATGTGTGCCATGTCCATGGAGACGTCTATGTGCGTGTGTGACCGCTGCATGATTCACGGTGTCACAACTGCGCACAGAAACGACTGGACATCCTGAACGGAAACCACAGCCGTCGAAGCTGCGTTTTCCTGCAACACACAACCCAACACTCTCACAAAGAGTCACTTGACTGGACCCTCATATAGGAAGTGAAAGAGGAAGCCCCTCGTCCATCCTGTCCTCCATCCCAATCTCAGCTCTACTCTTCACGTGAAGCTACTCTTGCAGACAATATGAGACTTTAACTGTTGCAAAACATCGGGTGAAAGAACTGGCTGAGGCTGGAAACGTCTTGCTATCGGGGGTCAAATGTCTCGTCAGTTGACATTTAGCCACAGGAGATTAGCGCCAATCATTAATGTGAACGCAGAATTCACTGATTGATCAATGGGGTTTGTTTGAATGAAATGAATATTTGCTCAGCTGATTCCTATTTGACTATTTTCTATCTAATCTCTGATGTTTTCTTCGGACAGTCAGTCAGGTGCTCTGCAACAAGATACTCAGTGTTTAGACAGTGGAGCTGGGCTAAACCAACACTGTCCAAGAAGATGGCTATGATATCACAGATGGAGGAGGTGAGTGGTGTTTGACCATAGGGTGCGCTGGCCCGGTGTTTCCCTCATGGCTCGAGGCCTCTGGCTGTGTTCATTGGTGACAGTGAACGCAGCCTGGCAGCCTGCATTCCTCTGCCTCTCCCCACACAATGGTGAGTATCTGCAGCATTCCTCTGTCTGTGTCCGCTGTCTGAGACGCAGCCAGGCCTTGGCGAACCCCAGCACTCGGCCAAGAGGTTGGCACCACCTTTAACAGATTGTGATGGACACGTTTGAGTGTTTTCACTGAAAGGCCAGTCGACTATCGGCCTTATTTATTGTGTAAGAGCGTGTCATGGTTACATCGAGAGTGGACATCTTAGTCACGATGTAATAAAAAAAGGCCTCTGCAGAAGTGATTTTGAAATAATTTAAGAGATGATGATTCTTCCTCTTTACCCTGCTTCATCATCTCGTTTTTTCCGTGCAATCGTTCCTTCTCTCCATCTGTTTTTAAAAAATGCAAGCACGTCTGTTCTAAATCGTTTTCACTGCTCTTTATCCTTCTCCAGCTCTTTTGCTTTCTCTCTTGTTCCGATGCCACAGCCGTGCAGACACCTTTCCCTCCTGCTGACTCAGTAGCCAGCCTCAGGCGCTGTGGGCTGGGGGTGTTGGTGGCGGGGAGGAGGAGGGAGGGAAGGGGGAGGGAGGCAGAGAGGGAGTGGGGGTAGTGTGAGGCTCCCACATCAGGCCCACCAGCCTATCACATGCGAGGAAAAAGAGCTGGCTAATCGTTTCTACAATGGCACCCTGCACACTGTCACACAGCACCACAAACTGCTCTCCTCGCCAACACTTCTACTGTATTATTCCGCCGTTGCTTAGAAATCCTCATGTGATGTATGTAAGTGCGCAAACGTACCGCACCGAACAAAGAAATGCCCTGTTTGAAAAACCACACCTACGAAAACACATCTGATGCAATGTAAAATATATGCAAGTATACACATATACATGCACACCTTGTACCCAGTTTGTTCCAATTGTGCATTTACTAATATACATTTACACATCAGGTTCGAGCTGGTTTATATGGAAAAAAGCTAATATCTTGGTGTGTTTAAATCAAATACCTGGATATCAGTATTGGGTTGACTATTTGGCCTTTTAGAATAATTACACCATGAGATTTTTGATAAATAATGATCAGTAATGTGGATGTAATGGCTAAGTGGTTAGAGACAAACAATGTGCCAGCTACATCACTCCAAAAATTCCATCACTTTACTAAAATATCAGTGTTTGAAACCAAGAAAGGACAACATTTGTGTCACCTTAAAACATCCAAATTATAAACCAGTATTTAGTCTCATATCCCTATGTCCACATACGATATAGTTTCTATTTATTTAAATCTACTTCAGGAAGCCTTCTTCAATCTCAAATGATGTAGACGTTTTGGAAGGTTTTAATAATTTGCCTGATTGTGTCATTTACAAATTACATAAAGACATGTTCAATTGTATTTATTGAAAACAACAACAAAAATCAACAAAACATGTGAACTAATTGAATAACAAAATTCTTCAATAATAACTGGGAAGAGTTTTCTGCATAGCAGTCATCTGAGTGGGTTTACTGTTAATGAGGATATTTTACGAGTACACTTTTAAACGAGAAGAAAATTGAACTGTGCCTGTAAACAAAGTCTTGTGCCATATATAAGAGCCACTGATTAATGAGCCTGTCCCAATAACATTAAAATATAGAGGAGCATTATTCATTGCCATAACCATCTGGTTTATTTTCTGCTACATCCTTGATGTTCACAAACGCACTCATTTACGTCACGCACTCCCGGTGCAGTGCGCCGACCTTCAGGGATTCGGCCTGTTCTCAGGGAGGAAAGTGTTTTTGCACCTGTGGTTTGATTTTAGAGCTGCTTTGAGGTCAAACCTGTCAGGGGGTCACACATGAAAAGAGAACCTGGTTTCCAGGCTAAAGGGTAGGGCCGTTAACAGAGCCACCTGCCAAACTCTCACTAAGGGTGGGAACAGAGAGAAAGTCTCCTCTGACAGCAAGAAACTGGGAGATTTTTCAGCACAGAGGCTGTAAACTCCATTTACAATGTGACCACTTATCACACATTATTATCACAATGGCCTTGGAGCTATTACGGTTATCCAAATATTATTGTAGTCCTGAACTGAAAACGATCTGTTGTCAGGGAAATGTGCAAGAGGATTTAAAAATGTAGCAGGACAGAAAAAAAAGAGCCTATGAAGTAAAAAAAAAAAAAACGGCAAGACGAGCAGCAGTTTGTGCCGACGTGGTCGTTGTTTCTCTCTTCCTCCGTTAATGAATGCAGAGGTGTTTGTCTGAGGAAGAGAGCGGAGGGGAAGCCTGATTTCCACTCCATTTTATCTGTGCCCCACAGCCCCTGCCAGGCTGCTCTCACATGCAGGGGTCCCACAGGAAGCAGCTCTCCATGAAGGGCAAAGGTCGAGAAGGAGAAGAGAAAGCCACTCTGCCTTTTTATTCTCGGCCAAACCAATAAATACACAACACTGGCACTCCTTCCTCTGGCCGTCCTATTATAATAATATTAATACTTGTGACACGATAATGAAGTAAATCCACTCGGCCTTTCATTCTCCACCAAACTAACAAATACACAACACTGAGGGAGTCCCAGTTCCTCTGGCCGTCTATTTGTAATAATATTAATACTTATGACACGTCGATGAAGTAACGTGACCTCTTCAAACTCACACTGTGAATGTGTGTACAGAGAGAAAATGTTGTTTGAGAAAATGATTTGAGTATAAAGTTGAGCTAATGTTTTTGTGCACCTTGTCTTAGCAGTCACTGCACTCAAATTAGTGAGTTCACTTTTATTTATATAAATTATATATTGTGTTAAAGAGTTTTAAAAGATAACGTTATATAGTGTGCACTTCTTTTAGGGCTTTTAGCATTTATTAATCAGTATATAAGTATTAAAATGTGGATATATATGGATAACACACTATGATACTAATACAGGTGACTGGTGTGGTGTATGTAACATTTGAAAGCGTGTGCACGTCAGTTAAATATTTCACTGTGTGGATGTTTTTATATAGGATAGTAAATCTATCAGCAGATGAGACACAATTTTTAAAAAGTCACGATAGGTTTATTGATCCATAACAAATTAAAAACATAGTGGGTGAAAACAATTTGCATAATCATATATTATCTTAAAAAGAAAAGCAAATGAGGAACATATCTGTCCAGCAGAATCAGCTTCATAAAAAAGAATAGTCATTATCCTAGCGTAATTAACTTCTGTATGTTTTTTCTATTTTAATGAAGCATAAACACAAAATATAATTGAAGCTACAAAAACTAAGCAAAGCAACAAAGAAAATCACCAAAGTATTGAAGAGTAACTAAAGGATTAAGTAGTATATTAATAAAAAGGGAATATTCTCTGATTTCAAGTATCTCCTGTGAGACAAAATACAGATACGCCTGTATAAAATAAAAACATCTCATACATGTCCTGCATGCATGCTTCATTGTGATTTTCCATGTATAACTTGTTGTCTAGTTGTTTCTATTACAATTATTAGAGAGATATCCTTAAGTCCAACATTAATTACAATTTGAAGAATCCATGGGCCTGTTTGTTAAAGAGCAGGGCGATCTGTCAACATAATGCCTCCAATGCCATGGAGATGGGTCAGTTCTGCGGGATGGACAAACTCACATTAAATACTCGGGTGAGGAGGGGTTGTCACTGGTGGACCCGGTTTCGTGGTAACAGTTCGCACCGGACAGTTTCTCGCATTTACTTTTGTATGCATCCCTCTCCCGCATCAGCCTGTTCAGTTCGTGTTTCAGTTGCTCGACCTGTCCCACCAGGCTGGTCTTTTCGTGCTCCAAAACGTGTTTCTGCTGGACGCGCTTGTAGCGGCAGGACTGTGCGTAACCTCTGTTTTTCAGGGTCCGGCGCTTCTGCTTCAGACGCATCACCTCGTCCTTGCCCAGGCCCCTGAGGAGCCGGTTCAGCTCCCTGACGGACATGGACACCAGCTGGTCGTCGGAGAAGTTGCTGTCCGCGTTGGACCGCCGGTCGTAGCGGCTGTGCGGGATGTGCGCACCGAGGTCCGACTCGTCATCCATCGAATCAGGGGAATCGCACCCCATGTCATCTTTCATATATGGGTCTTCGCAGTGACTGCCGGGGATGCCTTGCATGTCGGGGTGACCCGGGAGTCCCGGGTACTGCTGGACCGGCTCGTTGATGTGGCCGTACCCATCGTACTCAGCTTGGAAAGGTGGCTGGTGGTGGCCGTGGGGCACAGATGGGTGTCCCTGCTGTGCCGTGGCTCCGATCAGGGCCTCCATTGCGTCCTCGGGTGTCAGACCGAAAGATTGGGGGTACATTTGCTGAGGGTAACCCCCGTTGTTGGGTAACCAGAACTGGTCGCCCCCGGGGTTATTTCTCGGCTCGCTGGGGTTGAGGTTCGGTGACGAGGGTACCGAGTTGCAAGGTGTGCTGCCGGGGGTGGAGGAGACCGAGTCCGGTCTCTGGAGCTGGCTGCATGGCCCGATAAAGGAGCGGTCCATCCCTTGCATCGATTCTTTCTTAACGCCGAACTTCGCAAAGTCGAAGTCGCCGACGAAATCCATGTTGTTTTTCTGAAGTCCCAAATGTGAATGCGCCTCAGCGGACATGTTAACTGACAAAGCTGGTCTCTTCAAAGAGCTCTGAGTGTCCGACGCTATTTCACGCAGTCAGCAAAAACGCGCTTACTTTCGAAAAATGGCAGTAATTCCAAACTTTGATTTCAGCTCACAAAGGGAAAAGACATGCGTGCGTAAAAAGCGTCCAAAACTCTGAAGTGGAAATTCTGCACCGCGCAGCCTTTTTTGCTTTCACTCGCTACACACTGAGACTCCACACTGATGCCAGCGAGCTGGACGCACCTCTGCCTGCTCAGGAGAAGCGCACTTTCTTCATAAAGCTGCATTGCTGTGATGTCACGCCTTCCAGGCTACACCTCCACGCTGCTCTCCAATGAAAAGACGCTGAGGAGGCAATTTGCATAAAAGCTGCTACGAGTCTGTCCCCACGAGCTTTTCGTGATGATCACTTGACCAAAACCTATAAATGTCTGCACAGCTACACACTATCTTATACAATATGTTTTTGTATATTCTACTTGTCCTCTATTTTATATTTAGGCCTATTTATCTCACAGGAATTTGTACTATACTTGCACTTCTTCTCCTCACTTCTCTTCTTTGATTTCTATTTCTACTTGCACTATTTGTATTTGTTTTAAGTGAAGTATATTTGATGTTGCATTGTTGGAGGAGCCTGTGATTTATATTTCCATTGCCAAAAGTATTCTGTATCTAAATCAAATCAAATGAAAAATGTATTATAGCCCCAAATCACAAGAAATGCCTCAAAGGGCTGTACAAAGCAAACAAAAGCAACGACAAAAACAAAATACAAACGTCATAGCATAACACTTATAAAAACATGATCTATCTAGTATAGATAGTACAATAGTTTCTATTGTGCATATGACAAAAAAGCCTATGAATCTTGAGATGAATCTAGGCATAGTCAAATACCTACACACTGAGTCTAGTCTAGGCAGTGTTTTATCTTCATTAAGCAAATCCAATAAACATAGGTAGTCACTTTTGCCTAAATATTAAACTTGCTTGATATCATTTTTTTCTTTCAACCTTAAGTTGGTTTATATTTATATCTGGATTTGTGGTCATGTACACACGCCTGATTTCACTTAAACTACAACAAAAAGGAGAATGCAGGACACTTTATTTCACACTGTTGTTGTGGCCATGCTCTGTGGTTAGTACACAGGAGAACACTGACACCTTGTGGCCTCTAGTCTACACTGCAGGAGTCCCAATCTTAATATCTACCCTTAGATATGAAGTGTGCACCATCACAGACTTGCATAAGAGGGAACGAGTGTGTTTCTGAGCCAGTAAACTGAGGCTTGTGTTGTAAGAGGAATATTTGTGTTGTCGGATAAAAACATGTTAGAAAACTTTGTCAGAAGGCTGTTTAGCTCTTTTCATCCATCCATCCATCCATCCATCTTCTCCCACTTATCCGTGTTCGGGTCTTTTCATATCATTCTTTCTTTTCTTAATTGTATTTGTTTTCTGGATGTTTTCAGGCTGTATTACTGCTGTTTTGACAGATAAAATGCTAAGAATTATTGGTTAATCTCATGTAGCATTGTGCATGTATTTAATATGTGAATACAGAGATGTTCTCTACCCTAAGCCCCTGACAGACAGGAAAAGGCAAAGCATCTGACAAATCTATTCTTTCTTAATGTATTTTTGAACCGGAGTTGGCTGAAAGGCTCGTATTCATCTGCAGTCCCAGCTCAGCAACATCTCTTACACAATAAAAAAAAAACCTGGCATGTTCCAGGATGTACTGTCTGATTCAGGGAACCTAGCGGTGTCCAGAAGTGACACAGCCGCACAGGAAATCAAAGGGTTAATCGACGTTCCTGCCCTGAGGTGACCCTCTCAGGCACCGCTTCCTCCAAAGATAGCGAAAAGCTTCACTGACAAGATAGAGGACTCGAGCCAAAACCAATAGAAAGTGCTGTCCGAGGACGCAGAGGCATTGTTCCAGTCAGGTTTAGTTGCTGGGAATAAAGGAAAAGAGGAGACAGTGTGACTGAGTGGGGATGGCTCAGGGACACAGAGTAGGATTTATGTCAGCATGGCAGGGGGGAAGTATGTAGTATAAGTTATGCTAATGATAAGATGCTAACAGCCTAAGTGCACTCGGATAATTCACTACAAAAACACATGCTGTAAAACACTAACAATATACATTTGACCCATAAAGCATCAACGGCTCTTGTAAATAGGGTTTCACTTTATTTGGAGTGAGACCATTAAGTGAAAATGGATATTATTTGGATATTAATTGTGCCGACCCACCTACAAACTATACTAATTATGTAGCTTCTTTATAGGCGGTTAAGGTAGGGGCTATATGTAGTACGGGTTTAGATCTGCCAATTTTAGTAAAGTAGGCAGCATTTGTGTGTTGAGAGGCTAAAAGCATGGATGCTGCTTTCACATCCCAAAGACCCACTTTACATAACCTGTGATGTCCTTGATTACAAAACAAATTCAGAAACCACATTACATAGAAGACAACCGCTGTAACTTGCAAATGTTTCTGTCGCAATATGGAAAACTCTTGAAGTGGATGCACCAATACGGATCAGGTCGATACAGACTCAATTAGTTGGATTTTGTCATTTTGACTTAACAGTCAGCAGAAAGCTGCCAACAAAGCCATTTGGCATCTCTTGCTACGTATCAGTGGTTAACTTTCCATGTTAGAAATAATAAAATGTAACCGCATGGTCCTTTTTTGTTTTGTTAGTTTGTTGTGGGATTGGCTGTTAATGACAGGACACAGCAGTGCCTACTGAACATGTATAAAACATTTTAAAGTGAAAAATAAGGCTTGCTTTGCTGGCCCTAAGTGTTAAGTTAAGAGGTTGCTTTGGCTGGTATACTCCAAAAATGGCTGACTTGCTGCTGATGACGTCAAAAATACTATCCCCTGTTGTGTTAAATGGGGCCTATCTATTCAACTATGTTATATACTGAATTTACCAATCCTGACCATTTTTTTCAGAACTTCCTGTTCATTTGGAAGATATTCATTTTCATCAAGTTGTTGGTGCATAAAATATTGTTTTCATATTTAATTGAACAATTCAGTAATACACTTTGTATTTATGTGTTACCTTTAGGTTTGCAAAGTTAGAAAAGCAATGTTTAAGCCAGGCCTGATTTTATTTTAAACATGAAACAATGATCCCAGTCACTTCCACACAGTAAGGCATACAGTTTATTAATCTAACACCGGTATCAGTTTGGTAGTCAAAGCCCAAGTATCAGTATGCAGGCTTAAAAAAAGTTGGATCAGTCCATCCATATTTAAAATGTGACCTACTTCAAGTTCATCCAATGCTAGAAGGCTGACACGTAACAGCAAGTCTTCTAAGAAGCTTTAACATCCATAAAGCACCCTAGATAATCCAGAGTTTTGTTCCATTTCGGGTTGCAACATCACAGCATCCATTAACTGGCTGTCGTCAGTGCATAAGCAGCACGAAGGCAATTAGAAAAGGACTATCATGTGGATATCAACAGTCACTCACTTGTTTCTCTCAAAGTTGAAAAAACGACTCAAAGATGCGCTATGCACCGTCAAAAACAGCCAAGAAGAAAACCAGTTACAGTTCAGCCTTAAGAAACGATAAAAACAAAAGGTTTGACAGGTTTCTGCATTCTGTCTGTGGCATGTCTGACAGAAATGTACCATGTCCTTGTCTTCCTTTCTTTCTGTATACACAACATCTTTCCCACATGGCAATTGGGGTTCTGTGTGATTCTAACTCTATTTTGTAAACACAACAGGGGCCATACTGGAAAGTTAGCTTCATTTACCTTCCAGTCCACATTAAACAAACATGGAGAGAGCAAGCAGCCTTAGGAGAAAAGCCATGGCCCGACAACATAAAGGAGAGGTCATGATTGCTGGAGAACAACTCAGGTATGAAGAGAGAAAGAGGTGGTGCTGGAGTGGATGTATGACATGTCTTTGGTCAGGTTTATGGGGGATTCAAAGTGATAGGTCAAACATATGGCTGATTCATTTCAAGGTTGAGGCTACACGATGGAAAACTGATCAAGGACCGACGCTACCACCTGCGCACGTATCCAAACTGCTTTGTGGCACAGGAACTTATAGACTGGCTGGTGAGCCATAAGGAAGCTCCGGATCGAGCGACAGCCGTCTGCCTCATGCAGCACCTCATGGATCATGACATCATTCACCACGGTAATAATTAAGCAGATTGAAAGGGGATATATGAAGACCTTCTCTGAATTAATGTTTTTCTATTGAAGTTTTATGAAAAGACAGACTTATTTCAAAACGTATCCAATGGAGCAGATGTGGCTCAGGGGAGCTAACCAATTTAGATGGTCAATTGTTTGATCCCCAGCCCCTGCAGCTGACATGTTGAGCTTTCCTTGAGCAAGATACTTAACCCACATTTACTCTCGTAGGCATGTTTATGGTATTAAAGTTTACTTAAATTGCTTTGGATAAAAACATCAGTAAAGTGACATGTAATGTGATTTGAAACTGTATGTTTTATTTTCATAGTTTGTGATAAAAGGTCAGTATTGAAGGATGCCAAACTACTGTACCGTTTCCGGAAGGATGACGGCACCTTTCCCTTCAATACGGAGGTGAAAATCTTCATGCGAGGACAACAACTTTTTGAACAGTAAGAGCTACAGTTCGTTTTGGTGCTGGGATACTTTTCTTTGACCTAAGAGTGTACTAGTTGGGATCCCAAATTGGTCACTTTGAAATGCTATATCTAGCATTTTCATGACGAATCTACTTATGGTTTTTGTGTCTCTTTCTCAAGTCTCATAGGGGACAAGGACTCCATTCTGCAGTTGAGAGTGGAGCATGGCGTTGCCTATCAGCGCTCCTTTCCTGGCTGCCAGTTGATCGACTGGCTCCTTCAGAACATGGAGGCAGAAAGCCGGCGTCAGGCCCTGGATCTGTGCCGCATATTGCAGGAGCATGGCATCATTCAGCACGGTGAGGGGAGTCTTTACTTACCCTTTGATGTATAGCAACAGGACTGTGAGCTGCTGCTGGCAGTGGGGAGGGCTGGCACTTTTTAAAATCTGAAGAAAAAACCCTCATGGAGTTTTATTTTTAAATCCCATACATTTTAAAACGTGTTGTTTTGTGTCTTTCTCTATGTCCCTTTCCCACCACTAGTGGCAAAGAAGTATGATTTCTTTGACAGTGGACTGCTGTATCAGTTCTGCATCAATTTTCGACGCAGACGCCACCTATCTGAACTGTTGAGTGAAAGTGAAGATGTGGTGATATTGACACAAGAGGACAACCATCTTGAAAGTCCATTTGTTTTGCACAAAAGTCATCCTCAAGAGGGCAGTAGTGATTTCCAGTCAGGTAAAAACTGATCTCTTTCCATTTTTGCACTATTTTTTGCCTATTTGATAAACTTTGAATACTAATTATCGAATATAAAAGTCACTACTAATTAACTACGGTGGGGTCAGGTAAATATCTGAAACAGGTTACCAGTGGGCGTCGAGGCAGCTTGAATTCCTCTCAGCTTCACTCTGCTGGATTTCCACCCTTTGTCCAGCTCAATTCAACTTCAGTAATATGTAATCCTAAATCAGGCAAGTGTGTAATTAATATTCATGTGTCAAATAAATGAAATGTTCTATTGAGGTCCAAAACTGGAAATGGTGAATGTTCTTGATTTGTTTGTAAAACTTTTTCCAGTACTTAGAAGAAGTTATACATGTGAAGAGTTATTGGCACCTGGTGCGCCTTTCATGAAGAAAGTGTTGACGGTGAGTTTGTAATAACTTTTTTGATTTTTAAGAGCTAACATTGGAGACATCTCTGGTGTGTAATTATTATACAGCATTATTCCTGTATCAACTTAACAACAATACGCCTAAATTAAGTGGAGAATCAAATCACTTCAAAGTTGCCTATAGGAACAAGACGTAATGCATTTTTTAGAGATTATTCTTCCATGTGGAATAATAATGTTGTTTCTTAACATTGATACAATATAATCCATTTAATTACTGCACAAAGTAATGTCACTCACCTTCATCACAGGTGATAGGAGATGACCTGGCCTGGGGCTTTGTTGTCAGAGGCATGGCTCCCTGTTATGTGCAGGCTGTTGACCCTGGAAGCCCTGCAGCCGCTGCTGGAGTTAAGGTTAGATATATGTTTCACACATGGCACAGAAAATGGTACAATACCCTCAAAGGAATTTGAAAAACATCACATATTTGACTCTTAAGACCTGTGTACTTCACATTAACTTCTTTAGGTGCGGCAGTTTTTGTGCCAGGTGAATGGACAGTGTGTTCTCTACCTGGACTACAGGACAGTCTCCAGGCTGGTGATGACAGGGCCTCGCACCGTTGTACTGGAAGTTATGGAACCACTGGAATGACAACATATTTCTGGTTTCAGACACAACTGCTCTGTTGGAAATGGAGGATCATTTTGTAAAGTTTATTTTTCCCAATTACAGACTAGTACGGGCAGAGTTCTTATCTACATTGTCTGGGGTCGGGGTTGGAATCACTGAACATGGTTATGGTCGCAGCAAGAGTTAAACTCAATGATTGTGTGTCTATAGTGTTCTCATGAATTCATGAGCAATATTACATGTTTGCTTTGTATGACTGAAAATCTGAGGTGGAAAAAGTACTCAGATCTTAAGTATTTAAGTAAAAGTAGAAATACCAGTGTAGAAAAACTCTGTTACAAGTAAAAGTCCTGCAATCAGAATGTTTTCACAAGAAAGTACAAAAGTATTGGCATCAAAATATACTTAAGTACCAAAGGTATAAGTGCTCATTTTGCAGATTGGCCTATATAAAAAATATTTTCTGAATATTGTTATTGATGCATTAAAGTATTATCAAAGCTCGTTAATGTGCAGCTAATTCTAATGACTTTGTATGCTGCAGGGTAGCTTGTGAATTTACTCCAGGTGTAACTAAAGTCTTATTTAATTGTTGTTTACATTTCGCACCCTTATTCCTAATCTGAAAAGTAACTAAAATCATAAAACAAATGCAGTAACAATGCAACAATGCAAGTAAAAGTACACTAAATAGGCCTAGGCCTACCTTTCATTTGTATTGGGGTAGAAGTACAAAGTAGCAAGAAATGGGAAAAAGTGCCTCGAAATTGAACTAAAGTACAGTAGGCCTACTTGAGTAAATCTACGGAGTTACTTTACACCAATGCTGAAAATAAAACATTTTACCAAAACAACCACAATAGACCAACTTTTACCCATCCAACCAGCGCCTGCCCAGCTCCCTGCTACGACTTCCGTCTTTTTATCGTCGCCATTTTCGACTGAGAGTTGGCTTGTTTGTAATGGATAGCGTTAGCTAGCAGGCTAGCCTGACCACCAGATCAAACACAAGACTAACTTGACTTAGTCAGAGAACTGGGTGGTCCTGACAGTTATTCGTGTATATTGTTTTCATTTGATGTGCACCCCTCTGTCCTGCCCTTCCCTCCTCAAGCTAAGTTGGCTAACTGCAGCTGATACAGCTAACAGACTAGCTTAGTGAGCTAGCTGTGGAGCATCAGCACCGGCTCAGAGGAGAGTGAACATCACCCTATACCTGCCCGTCCCGATCAGCCGATCAACTTCTTTGTTGGCCCTTTATGTATTGAGGCAACCGGCGATAGCTAGCCTACAGTCGTATCCTAAGGTGAGTAAATATGTGATTGAATTGACAGTTTAAATGAATAAATAAATAACGCTAGCTTAGCTAAGTAACCCTACGGACATACGCGGGCAATAGAGCTAATGTTGGCTAACCAACTAGCGCTAGCACAGAAAGCTAACAACATGTGGTGTAACTCTGATTACATAATAAATAACGCATCAAATCAGGGACATTTCACTCCTTGTGACTCATTAACGATGTCTTTATACTATGTATAACATCTGTATTTACTATGTATTACATAGGAATGTACAAATGCATAAACCCTGCACCGTATATGTATATGCTTCTAAATCTGCATCCGATACAAATATATTTATTTATTTATACATTATTTACATTACTACAGCATTGTTCTGTTATGTGAATTCATTGGAAACTCATGCACTTTACCACTCTTTGCACTTTCTGGTTGGATGCAAACTGCATTTCTTTGTACTCTGAAATGACAATAAAGTTGAATCTAATGTAATCTACTCCACTTTTGACAAATATAGTTACTAGTTACTTTCCAGATTCAGATTACTAGCTAAAACTAAATATAATAAACAAAAAAATAAACTATGATTATATAATGTTAGGTTTAAATATCCAGCATTAAAAGTAGCTCCACCTTGCCAATACTTTTATACATTTGTACTTTTACTTAAGTAAGATTTTTACTGCAGGGCGTTTTAATTGTAGCAGTACATTTTTTTGCACTGTATTAATTCTACTTTTACTTAACTAAAATATACTAGTACTTCTTCCTCCCTTGAATAAAATAAAATTTGCCTAAAACTAATGAGCTGTTAATTTGATTTCAGGAGAGATGTATCAACTTCCAGTGAATAACCTTGCAAGGCTCAGGAAAGCTAGGAAACATGTGAAAAGAGCTCTTGGCGACATTGGACTAGAGTACTGTAAGGAGGCAGCAGAGGTGAGTCTATTTTATTTGCATTAAAGTTAAAGCTTATTTATCTTTTCCATTCTTGTTTAAACATAGTTATAAATGTGTGTAGGTGTGTATCTAAACCTACCGGTCTGGCTGATAATTAGAAAATATTATATGCAGTCAAATGTGCCTGATTTAATATGAACTAATCCTTATTGTGTACGATAACAATCCAAAATCTTTTAAATCTTTCCACAGGAGTTTAAAGAGTTTTGCCCTGATGAGCAATATGTACAGGCCAGTCTTTGCCTTAATATCTGCTCATGGGATCCATCATATTCTAAAACACAGGTAAAAGTGATTTCTGTGTCCAAGGCCTTTTCACATTCTTATGCACAAATAACTATTTTTGTCTTAATACCATTGTTTTTTCCCCTGATGTTTTATAGGAATACAGATCGAAGCCATTCTGCTGCACGGAGTGCCCGTTTTCCTCCAAGTACTACTCGGGCTACAAAAATCACTTCCGCAATGTACACAGAAAGATCTTTGACGGTAAAATTCAGCTCAACTGTCCTTACTGCTCATTCACTGCAAGCAAAAAGACATTGGAGACTCATGTTAAAATATTCCACATACCCAAAGCAGCACAGCAAAATTATGGGAACCCACAGGGAGCTGTGCTGGGAAAGAACAACAAAGTGCAAATTGATAGGGTGAGACAGGGAGATGGTGTGGAGAAAGCAATGTACTTTTGCAAAAAGTGCACGTTCCGGGACACTCTTTACAATGTAGTGAGACGGCACATCTACAGGGAACATTTTCAGCATATTGTGTCACCATATCTTGGTATGGTTTCTGATTCATCTGTCAAAAAAGGTGCTAATTCTGTCAATGGCAACAACATCCTCTGTAAACGCTGCCCGTTTACCACTCGTAGTTATGAAGCTTTAGTGCAGCATGTTGTAGAGTACCATGAGCGCATTGGTGCTCAAGTAACAACTATGATTGGACATGCTAATGTTATTGTCTCCAGGCCTCAATCCTTGCCAGCTGCTTCTCAGAAGTCCCCTGTGATCATTAGGGGCCAAACACTTAGAATTGAACCAATAGCACAATCAGTGATTGGCTATTTAAAGCCAATAGCCCCTGTTGTTAAAAGTCAGTACTCCATCGCATCCGGTAGGATGCGTATCACACTTCCTGGGAATAGCACTGTGGCTGGAAATAATGCTGGTTCAAACACATCGCAGACACAGAAGTGGAAGATATGTACAGTTTGCAATGAGCTTTTTCCTGAAAACCTCTACAGTGCTCATTTTGAGAATGCACACAAGGCAAAGAAAGTATGGGCACTGGCCAAGTACATCATGAAAATCCACAACTTCACCAGCAAGTGTATGGTTTGCAACCGCTATCTGCCCAGTGACACACTGCTTAACCACATGCTAATCCACGGGCTCACCTGTCCGCAGTGCCACGCTGCTTTCCACAATGTTGAGAAGATCATTGAACACGTCGCCCAGGCTCATTCTGATGACTTTGTTGGACCCCCAGGTGCATCACCTCTAACTTTTGATCTCACCATTAAACAAGATAAGTCCATAAACGTACAGCTTGTTGTGCTCACGTTCAACATGAAGGAATCGAGTCAAGATCAGTCTGCTCAGAAAGTTTCAAGGCTGGCCAAGCTAACTCATCCGAGAATGATTGAAAAGAAAAGTGAACAACTTGTTCGAAACTTTGCCGGACTGAGCAAGAAGACTGAGGTCGGGAAGACTTTGTGTCCGCTCTGTTTCACCATCCTCAAAGGTCCCATCTCCGAGGCTTTGGCCATGCATCTGAGGGAGCGACACCAAGTGCTCCAAACAATGCATCCTGTTGAAAAAAAGATGACATACAAGTGCATTCATTGCCTGGGTGTGTACACCAGTAACATGGTGGCTTCCACAATCACGCTGCATCTTGTGCAGTGCAGAGCTGTTGGTAGGAACCAGGCAAGCCAAGGCTTCAAGTCCGCCTTGACGCTCAACTCCTCCGGGGCTGGCTTCCTCAAGAGGCAGCCACCAACTCAGGCCTCAACCGACCCCAAGAAGATGAAACTGAGCAAGGAGTCAAATATTTCCTCCACAACTGTTGGAAATCAGTCCGTACTTGACGGCCTCGCTCTGGATCCTGGAAGCTACGAGCACAAGACTTACGAGGCCCGGAAAGATTTTCTGACAGCCTACTTCAACCGGCGACCATACCTCTCTACTTGGGAAGAGGAGACGCTGTCTGCAAGTCTGTGGCTCTGGAAATCTGACATTGCTAGTCACTTCGCAAACAAGCGAAGGATGTGCGAAAGACACTGCGAGTCCAAGAAGCTGTCTGTCCTGCTCGGCTTTGACATGCACGCTGTAAAGAAAGTTAAGCATGACTTGGAGTTTGTGGAAAGCACGATTACTGGCACCTTCACGGGGAGATCTGGAGGCCTCAAGTCTGGTACTCCAAGCACAGACCAAAACAAGCAGAGTGAGACCCTAAAATGTACCTTAAAACTCAGTACATGCACAGAGACTATTTCCATTGACTCAGACAGTGAAACAGAAACAGTAGATAAACCTACTGAGAATGGAAATGTTGACACTAACCAAGATGAGAATGGAAATGTTGACACTAACCAAGAAGAGAATGGAGATGTTGACACTAACCAAGAAGAGAATGGAGATGTTGACACTAACCAAGAAGAGAATGGAGATGTTGACACTAACCAAGATGAGAATGGAAATGTTGACACTAACCAAGAAGAGAATGGAGATGTTGACACTAACCAAGATGAGAATGGAGATGTTGACACTAACCAAGATGAGAATGGAAATGTTGACTCTAACCAAGATGAGAATGGAGATGTTGACTCTAACCAAGATGAGAATGGAGATGTTGACTCTAACCAAGATGAGAATGGAGATGTTGACTCTAACCAAGATGAGAATGGAGATGTTGACTCTAACCAAGATGAGAATGTACCATCTGAGGATCCAGCAAACCTGACAGAAGAGGCTGAACCTTTGAACACTGACGACCCCTCTAGTGAAAAGGAAAGCTCTTTGCCAGATGAGAAAGCAAATGCTATGATGACTTTGTGTTAGTGTCGCTGCTTAGAAGTGTGCCTTGTAAACAGTATTCAAGGCAAACAAAAAGAACAGTTCTAAAGATGGTTACTAATCACAAATATTTGGTCAAATGGCATGAGTGACTAAAAGGAAACATTTTGATTTTGGGTGGGGGGGAATGACATATAGTGCATACATATATGGCATATGTAATTGACATTGTATATATTTTAGCCATTATTCTTTTGATAGTTACCTCCTATGTTATTCACCTTAACTGTCCCAAGATTGGTTAAATGATTATTCAAACTTCCCCTCTTACATATTTTCTTTGTTGGGACAGAAAACTGTATCATGTTATTTCACATTTAGAACGTGTAGGATATGCTAAATGCTCATGTACATGTTTTAATAAATATGTTTGTTAAATAAAAACATTTAAAGTCTGTTACAAGTTTTGATTCAGGTCTTATGGAAATAGAAATGTTCTTATGTATAGAACATAATAGAGCTTTACATGTGTAATAGGGCAGCTAAATAGGTATGTATGAAGGTTTAATGTAGTTATGTCTATTCTCAATTGGAAAAAATATATATTATTTGGATTATGTTTAGTGTGTACTTAAATGTAAAGAAAGTGATATAAAAAGGATTGTAAAAAAAAAAGACAATTTGTTGTAAGTAAATGTAGGTTAAGTGCATGTTGTCAACTAGAGGTCATACATTACTGAACTTTTAATTTTACAGCATTAATCATAAATGAACAAGAACACATTTTTTACGACAAGAACTAAGGACATACGGTTTTAATGAAAATATCTCCCCAGCTTTTTTCTTTGTCATGACTTTAATTATAATTGACATGTTTTGGTATGATAACGATGAATCAGGTTTGGGGTCTATCCATGTCTTCTCAGAGGTGGAAGAAGTACTCAGATTGTGTACTTAAGTAAAGTAGAAGTACCAGAGTGTAGGAATACTAAATTACAAGTCAAAGTCCTGCATTCAGAATATTACTCAAGTAAAAGTATTAGCATCAAAATATACTTAAAGTACCAGAAGTAAAAGTACTCATTGCAGGGTAGCTTGTGGATGTACTCCAGGTGTAACTAAAATCTTATTTAAGTGATTGTTTTTGATTATATTTCACATCATTAATCAAAATCTTCAAAGTAACAAAATAAATGTTGAGTAGTCTACACTGGTATTCACCTAGTACAAAGCAGCAAAACATTGAAATACTCAGGTAAAGTACAAGTCTATCAACATTTTAGTTAATTAAAGTACATGAGTAAATGTAGTAAGTTACTTTACACCACTGCTCGTTCTGGAAAAGGAAATGACGAACATTTTCTCCAGGAAAAAAACGTAAATGCTTTTCCGGGCCCCTTCATTTCCGGTCTTTCTCAGACGCTGATTGGTCCAGCGGCCGGAGGAGGCGGGACTTCTGGCTGTACAGTAGCCGAATTGGCCAACCGCCAGCGTGCATCATAGTCCAGGCCATAGTCTGCAGCTGCAAATATGTCCATAGTGTGTTTCTATTCACAACTACAGCTTTTAGTAAGTCCATAGCTGCACTCTGAAAGGGAAAACAACCTTTTTAGCAGTTGTAAGTATAACTGTGAAATGATGATTACCTCATATCCGTCCCGTGAATGTAGTTTGTGGTCGGTTTTAGATGCGTTTACTAAATATAAACAGCTAGTTAGCACGTTAAGCTAAAACTAGTTATATCTACGTGACGTGTAACTAAAGCTGTCAAGGTGGCTTGGCACATATATGTCTTCATGTTCATCGTAATGGTTTAATACTGTTGTATTTCCTAATGTTGAGCTTGTGAGGGTGCTTTGTTTTGATTATTTTTGTTAGCGACAGTATTCGATGTTTCATACATATTTTCTGCCATTCCAGACACCCATTAGTTTGAATTCATATAATAACAAAAGTGAAAGCTATCAGCAGATTGCTTATCCGTGCAGTCAACATGTTCACTTTCTTGTGTGCTAATGCCGAGCAGATACTTTATATTCATCTGCAAGTATTACTCAGACTTGACAATGTGACTGAATGTCATACCTGATGTTTTCTGTGATGAATTACACAAGTCTTGAATGTTTTATGAGTCTCCAGTTACATATTCATGTCGTACAGTAATGAATGGAAACCAACCGGTGCTAAAACACTTGAAAACGTTGCTGAATGTACCTATAGGTGGAAGTTTGTACTTAAGTAAAAGTAGAAGTACCAGAGTCTAAAATACTCTGTTAAAAGTGAAAGTCCTGCATTCAAAATGTTACTCTAGTCAAAGTACAAAAGTATTTTGTAAAAGTGCATGTTTTGATTATATTTATTGATGCATTAATGTGTTTATCAAAGCTGGCTAAGGTGCAGCTAATGTTTACAGTTGTATTTATTCCTGGGTGGTTTGTGAATTGAGTCCAGGTGTAACTAAAGTCTTATTTAAGTGCTGATTATGTTTTATATAATTTATCCTGCAAAGGTTTTAAAAATGTAGTGGAATACAACTACAATATTTGCCTCTGAATTGTAGTGGGGTAGAAGTACAAAGTAACCAAAAAAAACGTTCAATACTCAAGTAAAGTACAAGTACCTCCAAATTGTACTTGAGTGCATTACTTGAATTAAAGTACTTAGTTACTTTGCACCACTGCATGGACTTCACTCTCCTCTCTGTATGCTTCCAGGCTGCACCAAAAGGAGAAGACGCCCTGATGTGACGGCGCACAGACTGAGAGGAATGGCAGGAGAAACCATGGGGTTTGATTAGCCTGTCTGTGTGTTGGACGATCACTCTGTGGAAATCATGTCGCACAGGAACAGAGAGCTGGTGGAGTTCTTTGTGAGCTACAAGCTGTCTCTGAGGAACTACCCATGCTCTCTGCTGAGGACAGAGGATGCTGGCAGGAGGACTGAGGGAGAAAAGGCGAGCTCGGCCGCCAGCAACGGCTCGGCGGTCAACGGGGGCGGCCAGCCTGGGACGGCGTCACCCCCACCGGGTGATATGGAGCTGGTTAAGGAGGCTCTGAGGGACTCGGCCAATGAGTTTGAACTGCGCTTCACGCAAGCGTTTAGTGACCTCTCCTCGCAGCTCGACATCACTCCGGACACAGCCTACCACAGCTTTAAGAGCGTGATGGACGAGGTGTTCAGGGACGGAGTCAACTGGGGACGTGTGGTGGGCCTGTTTGCATTTGGCGGCGTGCTGTGTGTGGAGTGTGTGGAGAAGGGTATGAGCGAGCTGGTGTCCCGCATCGCAGACTGGATGACCATGTACCTGGACGAGAACATCAGTCCGTGGATCCAGAGCCAGGGAGGATGGGTGAGTCAGCAGGGAGGAAGGGAGTCAACATGCAGGTTTATTAATGGCACTGTGACTGAGTCTATCCAAAACAGATAATGAGTGGCACACAGTGAGGTCAAAGTGTGGGAATAAAAACAGCAAATCAATACTCGGTATTAGCAGATCGCCTTTGTAGGCATATCAAGAAAACTACTTTTGTTTGAAGATATATTGTCCAAGAAATCCGTTTACTGAATTCTATTATTTTTATTTTATTCCCAAGTTTAATCAGTGCATCCCTCACTGTGTCTAGTGATTTAAAAGCAATAACACAAGAAAAATAATCAGATTTTGGTATCGGAAACTCTCTGCCTAGAGTCTCTATATCCAGTCAGCTTTGAGTCACAGCAATTATTCCAAGGAGTGGCCAGAACAATATCAATTATCTAAACACTTCTCCAACCACTCCTGCAGCATGGAGCACTTTTGTGCCATTTGTGCACTCATGCTTCATTATATTATTTATTAAAACATCTGAAAGGTACTTTTATTAACCAGTATTTAAAAATATCAACAAACATTTGTTATCATCTCTCTTGTTGTCATCTGCAAACAAAAAAAGGTATATTAAACTCCAACAACTTTCAATGTTTAGCGAATTATGAATGTATTTCTTTCCTCATTAATATATTAGTGACAACACATTAAAATACAACAAATACATGTCTATTAGAAAAACAAACAAATACTCTAAATACACACACACACACACATTTTAAGTAACACTATATACAAAAAAGCACTAAATACAAACATGCACATATGCAAAATGACATGTCTCATTTATTGCAATTTTTAGATCATCAATTTTAAAGTTGCAATTACATACATGTTGTTCATAGGTGCAAAAGTAATATTTTAACCCCAAACTGTAGATTTTCTGTGAAGTAATCCTTGATATGAATAGGTACGAATCTGTTTGTCTGAATCATTTCTGTTTTCCAGGACTGCTTTGCTGAGATTTTTGGGCAGGACGGCGCTGCAGAAGTGAGGCGATCTCAGGAGAGGATGAGAAGATGGCTGCTGGCTGGAGTGGCGCTGCTGATGGGAGTGCTGGTCGGTATAGTCGTCACTAAGAAACGGTGAATGTGCTTCATCGTGGCACCCCCCTGTGTATTGCTACGCCAACAAAAAGTAAAAAACTAAATAGTTGATGTTTACAAAAAGCCCAGTCTGCTTGTGCACTGACAGAATGTGGATTGGCTGAAAGCAGTTTGCGGGAGTCTCTATAAAATGTAGCTTTGTGACCTCTCACCTCGCTTTGTCCTGTAACTTTTATTATTTTTAACACACGGCCAAGATTTTCAGTTGTTAAAGGGTGTTAACGTCCAGACTGGAAGTGCTTTAAATGATAAGCTAAGTGAAACAGATTCAGCTGGTTTGATGAGACTGCTTATTTTATGTTATTTCTCCTTTGTGCGTTTTCCAAGGACCAAACTTTTATTACTTACAAACTGACAGACAGAATATACGTTATACTTGCTCTTCACTGTGTAATGCTCAGCTCCTTTTGTTGGCTGTACTGGAGTGTTAGGCATGCTTTTAAAAATAAATATATTTATGTTTTTCTTGTGTCTTTTATTTTTGTTATGTAGGTGAATTAGTAAACCGTTAGTTGATAGACAGAAAGATAATCCCTATTTTGATAATTGATTAAGTAATAACCTGCAGATTCTTTTCCGTTCAGTTTGATATTAAAATGCCTTTATTTTAGTTTCAGACTGAGAAAAACAACACATTCAAAGACATCACCTCAGACTTTAAGCAACAACTGGGATGGACAATTCTTTGCATTTCCTAAAGACTACAAATCTCACATCTCAGACTTATTCAGCAATTCAAATTTGTAGAAGGAAATAAAACTCTAATGCAACAAAATGACACCGTCATAAACCCAAATAATCTCCTCTTTTGGTGCAGAGAAGGATATTTATATCTACATACATACCAAAAATGTTATGTTTACATTTTCTGTTTCTATGTTTTACATGCCTAGGGGGCTCCAAAGATAATTCTCCTGCTTCGGCCTGACAGGAACATTTATTTTATTCTAATCAGGAACAGATGTGATGTTGTGAATCTTTTAGAAGATTTAACACAATTTATATTCAACATAGTTTAAAAAAATGTAATGCCCGCCCACTGAATACCAACCCATTCAAAATATATACCAATATAATGATAAAGACATCACTGAATAAATTACTTGTATATTAAGTACAGCAATCATAAAATCATTAATTCTTCATAAAAAGTATCCCAAATATTTCTGATCAACATTAAAGGATCGATCAAATATTTTTACTGAGGGAATCCACTTTAAATGTATTTTGCCCATAGCCTGTATAAATAAAGCTTTTACCAGATTAATTCAACACATATTCTTTTTGTATTACGTGACACGGTTGTCGTTGTTGAAGCAAATCAAGGACCTTCACCTAAAGTATGACATTTAGAGCATCTTCAAGAAGTAATGTTATTGTGCACATTCTTGATGTAACCCACTGTGTCTAAAATGTAATCATATTCAGCTCAGTATGCTATCATAATATGAGCCATCAATGAACATGACAACATACGCACACATAAAAGAGTGTGTTATCTCCAAACTGCAGTGTGTGGAGTTGGACATCCTGTGTCAGTTGGTGAGAAAGTGGAGCTGCAGTGTTGTCTCCTTCCCTTCAGGGGGCGCACATGCACCACATGTTTCAAAAGAAGCATGCTGTACAGTAAACTGAGGTAGTTGCATTCAAATCTATATTATAACATAGTAGTGTGTTGACCTGTGTTCTGTTATTCAGACATGCATCTGTTTCCCCTTTCAGAAAGACTGTTGTTGGATATGACTCTCAATCACATCATGATTATATCCAAGGTTCGTTATGATCTATTTAATAGTCTCCCAAAGTATCAAAGATAATAAAAGCTCTTGATAAAAGCATCCATGTTATAGTAGTTTACACAAACAGGCTGAAGGGAGAGCAGTCAGACCCTTCAGCAGCAGAGGAGCGCTAACGGACGGCCTTGTGAGTGAACTTGGCGGCCTGTGGTTCCTAATCTTTCCCCGTCATTTGTTGCCATTTCCCCAGAGCAGAGCTGGCGGTCACAGCAGCAGATAAACAGCAGATAGAGGCAGTTCATTTCATGTATTTTCTTTTACAATGTATTGTGTCTCTTGTGAAGGTTTTACCATTTTTTTTCTTGGGCTCACTATAGTTTGAATGTTTCTCTAGCAAGACACTCAAAGGAGAAACTTCAAATGTATTCATTCACTGGTCAATTTTGCAAGTTTGGGCATTTTTCTTCCATAAGATTAGTGAAAAGTAAACGTCTAAAATGCTAAACAAGAAGTTAGCATGTGCATATTTAAATCTAAAATGTTGGAAAATAGGTTTTATTTTATTTTATTAATACACATTTTACATATTTCTTTTCATATTATTATGAATTACTTGATTTATAAGACATTTGAATCTGAATTATATGCACTTATAACACTAGAAAACGTATAATCCCCCAAAAGTTATCTATAAAAAAAGAAACTAGTTGAAAGAAGACAAACAAAATACAAATGTGTCTATGAGCTTCTGCAGATTTCTCCTAAATTATACAATAACAATATTCAAACCTTAGAACAAATACTTTTCTCTTATCTAATTTTTACGTAGTTTTCTCTTGTGAGTATTGTCCACAGATTCAATATATTACATGTCTAATATATGTAATATGCTAAAATAAATACAATGAATTATTAATAATTATTAAGGTGTGTGGCGCAGTGGGTTAGTGTGCTGATCTTCAAATCAGAGGACAGCAAGTTCGAGTCCCACTGCAGTCAGCATGTCGTTGTGTCCCTGGGCAAGACACTTCACCCCAAATTGCTCCTGTGCGGATTGTCCACAGTATTTTGGATAAAAGCGTCTAACAAGTAACATGTCATGTAATGTAATGTAATTAATAAAATGGAAAAATCAAATAAGTATTTACACTTAAACACTTATTTAGATCAGATAAAGCCTTGTTTAGAAATTAAATAGGACACTTTAGAAAACTAGCAATAGAAAAAGTAATTATCTTAGTGAAAGATATGAACTGGGGAAGTTTCATGATGATGTATCAGTACAATATTCACCTGTAGTGAACTTTGGGCAAATTTGGTAAGTACAACCAAATAGAACACCCCTCGTTTCACCCTGTTACATCACATGACATCAATACATTACATTCCCATCACCACAGTCCTGAGGGAATCATGGGAAATATGCATGACAACACTTATGTTGGTTAGTGGACTGCTCATAAAACTATGCTGCACTAGAAATGATCACAAGTTAGACGTTTGGTAATGAACTCGTACAAATGCTGATCCTCAAGATATTTGGATGATGATTTGGTGTGTGTGTGTGTGTGTGTGTGTGTGTGTGTGTGTGTGTGTGTGTGTGTGTGTGTGTGTGTGTGTGTGGTGTGTGTGTGTGTGTGTGTGTGTGTGTGTGTGTGTGTGTGTGATCAGTGGGTGTCGGGCCCAGGTGTTCGCAGGGCCGTGCATGAATGCAAGTCTTATTTCTTCTTGAGGTCTGCAGTGAAGCGTGTACACATTTGCTGAATATGAAAACACTCTCAGTGTGTGCCCACAGATTATGAAACACGACCGAGAGTTCATCTGACCCGAACATGACTCGTTTATTTTGAAACAGTGAGGGAAAGTACATCTATATGCTTTCTTTTATAACATCTTCCTTAAAACCAATGAAGATAGCTATCTGTAAACGAGTTAATTTGACCTAGCAGTCCTTCATGTGCCTGCAGATAAAACCAAATGATTTATTGCAACTGGTATCATGTCCTAACACCTAAAGAGGACAGGGTGCTCCTTGCTGTCTAACCGTCAGGGAGTGTGAGGGTGGTGTTGCCAGCAGCAGGTGGATGTTTGGGGGTCTGTGGCCTCAGTGATAACCTATCAGTCATCTCGCAGAGCTCAGCGGCAACCCCAGCCCTGCAGCTCAGCACAACACACTGCACTTATGCATTTTAAATACACTACATTACTGAGGAGATGGTATAAAAGGACAAGAAATCTAACATGTTTCTCTGCATTTATGGATTTGCAGTTATTTTATGTTGCAAAATCCTGTGAAAAAGTGTGCACTATGTAGTGTAATCTAATCATACAGTAAGACATGCTCAAGTTTGATCAGTATGATACAGTTATCTCTTTTTATAATAATGGAAACTGGAACCTGAATGTGTCCTCTAATTACTGCAGGACATTTCTTTCTTTTTTTTACTACAGTATGTGGTAAAAGTGATGGTGGTTTTGCTACTTTTACTCAAATAAAGAATCTATAAAACGTCCAATATACTCAAAATCCATGTCTTTGGACTCTAGAAAGTAGCGTTACCACATGATGACAATACTTCCAATCGCACCTAAGTAAAAGTACAAAAAGTTGAGGTACTCATTGTGCAGAGTGGCCATATCATCTCATTCATTAATAATGAGTTCACAATAATGTGTAAGTGTCTGGTGAATGTGGGGCTATTATAATTTAATACGATGCAGTAATGTTATTATTATTATTTTTCTTTTTTTAAATAATTGAATCTGTAACTTTGTATAACTGTTGTGTCGTAAAAGTTAAAATGTTCTTTCCATTTCTGTGAGGAAGAAACAAAAATGGATGTCAGAATCTGTCATGTCATGACACATTGTACTCTCAGTGACCCTCACGAGAGTGGACATTTTACGCATGAAAAATCCCCTAAACAGTAATAGCAAAAGCAAACATGAGAGAGTGTGTGTGTGTGTGTGTGTGTGTGTGTGTGTGTGTGTGTGTGTGTGTGTGTGTGTGTGTGTGTGTGTGTGTGTGTGTGTGTGTGTGTGTGTGTGTGTGTGTGTGTGTGTGTGTGTGTGTGTGTGTGTGTGTGTGTACCTGAAGCTCAGTCACTGATAAACTACATTTAAAACCCAGGTTTAAGTGTTTAAGCATTCTAGTTTAATGTTCTTCCTTTCCACTGAATGGAGAATTTGCATAAACCCGCTACGCACAATCACTCTGTCAAAGTGCAGCGTTCCTGCACAAAGAGACTTTTATCCACCTGAGCAGAGGAGGACAATGCACCCACACAGGAGAACTTTCTGCGGTCGGGTCACCGCGCTAAACGGATAAAGTGAGAATTCAAATGACATCCAAAACAAAAGCCCTCATAACTCCCAGCTGAATAAGTCACACGTTTTTTATTTTCGACTGTAGAGTTCCAATATGAATGTATGGATACAAAACAGACACAAAGCTTAATTTCACATCATGAATAATAGAAGATATCAAGCAGTCAAATGAGTATTTACAGCTGATTTAATTCCCTTATCAGTGTGTTTACATGCGCAGCAACCTCAGCTGAGTGATTGTATCTGACTTCAAACATAACCTACATGATCAGATAAAAACAAATAAAATACAGTGAAAAATAAACAGAAAACTTCACAACCAATGTAGAAACGTATGTACAAATTCACACAAATAACTGGCCAATTGCTCAATATATTACTGCTCCCAGGGGCCTGTTTCTACACCATTGTGGGCATCATACCAGGGTTGAGGTGGTGTGTGTATTGAAATGAGTGTGAGGGATGCATCGGTTGGGGTGTTGGCATGAGGTGGGGTGCGTGGCTGTAGGAGAGGAGGGACCCGGGGCCGAGGGAGTAGGGCCCGCAGCCGTCCATGGAGGGAGGCTGAGGCCCATCGGAGTACGACTCAAACATGGCCACCTTCTTGCTCTTCTTGTTCTTGTTGGACACCTTCCTGTTGCGTGTCTGGATGCCCTCCTTCTTCATGGCGAGGGGCCGGTTCACCTGGGAGGAGAACCAAATCAAAGGGTCTATTTAAAATATATTTAAAAGAAAAATGTAATGCAGCTCTTTAAAGGGGCCCTATTAAACGTTTTGGGTTTTTCCTTTCCTGTAGTTTGGTATACACGTAGGTTTTTGTGCATGTAAATGGTCTGCAAAGGCTAAAATGACAAATTTCCCTCCAGAGGGAGTTTCTCTCCCACACTCCCCCCCCCCCCCTTGCCTGAAACGCCTGCATTGGACTCCTTTGTTTACTTCCTCAACATAGTTACATCACATTGTAACACTCACGCTTCTATTGGCTAGCGCTCCAACACATTGTACGTGATAGGCTAAGGGGCTGGACATCTCTAAGCAGTTGACCAATCAACACAGAGCTGGCAAGCTAACCAATCTGTTATTCAAGTAAGATGTTGTCTGCAGAAAAAGAAGGAACAAGACAGAGTTGTATCCAGATGACTGACTCACATTGTGCAGTTTGAAGTAGAGTCCACAGGCGTTACACACAGGCTCTCCGCTGGCGTTGCGTCTCCACAGTGTTGTTGTGCTTGTGTGACAGTTGGCACACACTGTACCTGCCCGCTTGCTGACAATCTGGAGCACAGAAAATAAAATCAGGGGTTTTAAACTGCTGAGGCAAAGATGAGTAGCCTGTCCGTAGAATGTTCCATAAATCAGATAATGTGAGCGTGTAGTTAGACACACGGAAAGGTGTGTTGGTGCATCCTATTGGGTCGTACCAGTCTCTTCTTGGGGCGGATCAGGGGTCTGTTTTGGCCGTTCATCTTGTGGTACAGTCCACAGGCGTTGCACAGGTAGTGGCCCGTACCATCCCGGCGCCACAGAGGGGTGGCTGTGGCTCCACAGTTAACACACTCTCTGGCCTCTGTTCAAAATCACCAATACTCAGTTATTACTCAATTATGTATTGTAGTAAATGAAAGGGTTAACACAAAATGCTTCACACACATTTAAGAGATAAACCATGCTTAAAGTGAATCAGGCAGTGTTTGGAAGCAGATTCTCCCATATTAATTTACCAAGTCTCATAATACAGTATGGGATCATTCATCACATTTAGTCCATTTGTTTTCTTTCTGAAGCTTTCAATCATATCACATGATCTCCATTAGCAGATGGATGTACCCAGTTGTTACCGAAGAGTAGAGTAGTACAAATATTTTATTCAATTAGTCTATTTTGTTTAAAGAATTTTGTCAATGGCACCAGAACAACTAGATTTCTGGAGGTGGGCCACGTGACTTGATGTCAAGTTCGAGAGAAGCCAATTTTCTTTTTTCAAACGTTTTAAAGAAGACAAACACACCAAGAAATGCTCTCTCCAAAAAACATAAGTGCATTCTCACCTGGAGTGGATATCCTCATCTTGTTGCGGAGTTTCGGGGAGAAGGAGGGGTTGATCCAGGCTCCTGGTCCGGGGTAGTTGTAGTCCTGCGGACCCGTCATGTACGAGCTGAAGGGGCTCAGCATGTGTGGGTGTGACGATGAGGTGTACACACTCCCAGCAGCAGGAGTCAGATTCAGAAAGCTGCTGCTGACCCCCGACCCCCCCAGCGGGCTCAGCCTCTCGGCCTTCAGGGCCTCTTGGAGCCGGGGGCTTTCCCTGCCCGGAGACCCATATCCATCCCTGGAGGAGGTGAAGGAGGAGGTGAGGCAGGGGGTGTAGAGGGAGGTGGGGGTGTGGGAGTGCATCTTAGAGAGGGGGCTGCTGCTCCAGGAGGATCCAGGGGGGGTGTAGGGGGAGTGGCTGCTGCCTGCCCCGTCCAGCAGCTGCAGGTTACCCAGGAGGCTCGGGGAGGAGAACACCTGTCGGACTTTGGGACAACAGATTTACTCAGATTAGATTCAGAATTCAGATTCGGAGTACTTAATTAACCATTCAATTGACATATAATGGAAATGTATCTTTGGCAATGGCAATTTATCATAATAAAAGTGCAGAGTGTTTTTTCTTTCACTGGCTTGGGTCCGGTTAAAATATCAGTTGTATTAAAATTGTAGAATTGACTATACATTAATATACAACTGTACAAGTTTGGGTTAGGTGATGATGACAGTGTGAAGGATCCTCGAGGCTTGGATACACACGTGGTGTGTGTGTGTGTGTGTGTGTGTGTGTGTGTGTGTGTGTGTGTGTGTGTGTGTGTGTGTGTGTGTGTGTGTGTGTGTGTGTGTGTGTGTGTGTGTGTGTGTGTGTGTGTGTGTGTGTGTGTGTGTGTGTGTGTTTGAGCAGGTATGATATTTGATGGGCGACAGTGAAAGGAGTACTGACCCGAGCTGTGTCTGTAGGTGGGAGGCGCTCGGCTGTGGCTCGGGGTGGAGAAGAAGGAATGGAGGCCGGAGTAGTCCGGTTCCTGGCCGGAGAAGAAGGCCTCCGCCTCGTCTCCGGGAGGCAAGAGGCCCGGCTCAGAGGAGAAACCGGCCAGAGGATCTGAGCTGAGCAGAGCCGGCGAAACCCAGTGAGACTGCTCTGAATCCTCCATGATCACAGATAAAACCTCAACCTAAAGCACTACAAGAAATAAATAATAATGTGAATAATGCAAAGGCTCTACGTGCAACAGCTTTTAAGGTTACTATTCTAATGGAGCTCAACATGTATTAAATGCATGTATTTATACAAATTAAACAACAGTTAGATGTTAACAAAAGACCAAAAAGAATCCTAAAGCACAACCAGAGCAGGGATAGGAACTATATTTAATTTAACTTTAACTACATTTACTGCATTTTCTTCGTTACATAACATATCTTTGAGTTTAATGGAAATAAAGTGCATGTTTTTCTATATTAAAGCTACTGGAACCACATATAGTTGGATAGAAAACACATAAGATGACACATGAAGTCTGAAGAAAGGAAAATAAATCGTTGTCACTTAAAGGCAAAATCTTCCCACACCAAAAATCTAAAGTGTTGAACTCTCCTTTACTGTTTGTACGTTTCTTGATTGCCAGACCATGCAGCAATCCATCAATCTTTGCATGCTTGGTACATAAACTAATTTTCCTTTTATTAGTTTTAAGTTAACACGCACATATTGTATTGTTGAGTTAACTGCAAACAGGGTATGTGAGATTTCTGCCAAATGAATCCTCTCAAAAACTAAAAGCCTTTATCAGACATTATTTTTTTTGCAGTGCCTCAATTAACTGTATTTGATTTACTGTCACTTTGATTGCATTATCTGCACTTCATAACAACCAATGCAACTTGAAGTTATCAGGGATCGCGATCTCTCGACAGCAGGCTTCTTCAAACTTCCTTTTCTAGGATCCTCATTTCACTGTGGCTGAAAGTAAAAACACTTAAAATAGCCGAGTCTATAAAAGTAGTGATGCAGCCAGTGACCAAACAGTTTCTCAGCGGCCTTTCTACTGTAGGTGTGCCAGTTAGAAGAATGCAAAAGACATGTCCTCTGGGACACCCCATCGCAGTACAGGGTGGACAAACAGACTAAAAAAAGAGTTGTTTTGGTGGTTACTTCTGTCACACTGCTTTAGATGATCAGATGTTTTCACACCAGTTCTCTCTATTTGTGAGGGTGCTCTTACCAAGTAATGCTGAATTACTCACAAATAAACACAATTTATGACACAATTATCTGTCCTAGAGATGAAAAGCTACCCTTTAAAAATATAAAAAATGACTGCTTAACTAAAGAAATTATGAAAAAACGCGGAAATGTCAAAGTAGTAGGCCAGAGCGAGGCCGCTGTTGCTCCATATCTTTAGAGGAAAGAGAAGAGGAAAGACAGAGAGGCTGATAGAGGCTGATAAAGTCTGATAACATCTGATAGACAGCATTTATTATAATGCTAAATATATCCACTGATACTACAGTATCATCATCTCATCTGATTCATAGAAATCACTTATACTAGAAATGCGACCAATGTTAAAAAACAGCAAGGTGAGCATGGAGAAATTGTAGACAAACACAAAAAATAGGCACTTTTTAAAATAAGTAATAGGTTTAAAATCATTAGCAAAAACAGGAACAATTGATTCCCATGTAAATGTAAAACAACAACATTTGTTTGATTAAATACCTGGATTGCATACACACACAATATATCATATTTCAAATGAATACAAAATACCTGTTTTAATGTATTTCCGCAAATGAAGCATTCATTAATGCTCACACAAGAACTTAATGATAATTGGGAAGAACCTAGTTGTTACAGTTATTACTTATAACATAATTGATATGATTTTTAATCTGATATTTAATTAATTTAACTCTCTTTAAGTCAACTTAACGCATGATGAAGAAGGTCAATGTTGATGTTAATTGTTTCCATTACTAGTTTACACAGACCCCAGAAAAATGCTGAAAAAATATACAAAATAGTAATAATTGTTGCTAGAAATAATGTCACCCTACTGCAAAGACCTCATCGCTCATATTTCTAGAAGTCAGAGTCAATCAAGCGATAAATGCCCTGAGTTGCAAATCCAGAAAGCTGGTTAAAGTTTTAAATGCATTTGTTTGATCAAACTCTTTAATATATAATCTGGATTATATGCTGGTGTCTCCGAGGAGTCAAAGAGCCGAGGGGTCGCCTACCTGAGGGTCTCAGAGGAGCGTCAGTGGAGAACGAGTGGAGCTCCTCACTAAAGGCTGAAGGCAACAAGAACACAAACTTCTCCAACCAGCAGACAAACTTTAGGGCTCAGAGACCGTGGGAGGGGTCGGGGGGGGACAACTTTTTAAAAGACACACCTCTTTGGTCCAGAGAGAAATGTGAGGGTTGGATGAAACATGACTGTGTGACTGTGTAATTTATTCCACAAATAATGTTTGTCTTATCAGAGACTTTTGGCTCTTACAGGAAGTGTGAAAGGCGAAGGTGTCCCCTTTAAATCCTTCCTCTAATCCGTGAACCAATCCCAATTTAATGTACTTTTGTTCTTTTACTCAGTTATTTAATTTTGTATTCATATATAAAACTGCAGGTGGTTTTTGTTATTTTAACGTTATTTCCTTACACATGTATTTTCAAAGTTTTGTGTTGTGAACCAAACCTAAGTTATTACTATGAATGAATCATTTGTTTACTTATTTTTTACACTGTCATTTTATTTTGTAATCAAATGTAAAACGACATATTATTTAATTGTATTTTCGTAAACACCTTTTTAGAGAGCACTTGTTGGGGCCCTGTAGTGGGATTGGATGTTTGAATACTTTACAGCATTTCAACATGTTATGGGGATATAAAGTATAACACTTTTGGATACTTCTTTTTGTGTCTTTTCTGAGAAGCAGCTCCAGTAAGGGATGTCCTTTAAGAAAGACAATCTTCTGCTCTGTCTATGAATGTGTGTGCAGGTAGTACCGATAACATGTTGTACTCTCTGATAATGTCCAAGAAGAACGTATCTCAACATCAGCTCCAAACTACAACCATTATCAAACAGCAGACTGAGCTACATGTAATGCATGTGTAAGATGTGTAAGGAGGTGTGTGGCGCAGTGGGTTGTGTGTAGGTGTTCGGATCAGGGGGTCACAGGTTCAAACCCCACTGCAGTCAGCATGTCGTTGTGTCCCTGGGCAAGACACTTCACCCCAAATTGCTCCTGTAGGGATTGTCCCTAGTACTGAGTATGTAAGTCGCTTTGGATAAAAGCGTCTAACAAGCAGGGGCACCGTAAGGGGGTGAAAAATTAGGACGATTCTAAGGGCCCGTGACTGACAGGGGCCCAGAACATTAAGTAACCAATGTGATATCTTTTCATGGGGCCCAAAATCCCTGGCGGCGCCCCTGCTAACAAGTAACATGTAATGTTAGTGTTTGCACAGATCATACACACAGTAATGTAATATTTAGGACACCATGCAGTCGGTGCAGGATGGGAGTTTTTGGTCTGTTGATGAAATGTGCATACAGCTCCTGATAAGAGCGAGCCCACATGGAAAAGAGTTGCGCAGACATTTGAACAAAGCGACTATAAAATGCAAAGCCTCAATTTCTTTGTGGTACGGCAAAGCTTAGAGTGGAACACAGTAATGCAAATCGGGTGAGGAGCTGCAATCATGGGGGGTGGGGTGGGGGGGAGATATGGCCTGGGCTCTATGTCTGCACACAGGCTGACACTGTGCCGGCATTTGGTAGTCAAAGCAGCTTCCCAACTCTCCTCTCTCTTTGTCCATTTACAGTTTTCAGGGAAATCAGGGGACGAAAAACAGTTGGGAAGAATTGAGACAGAATTGTTTTAATACATGCAACGCTGGATGCATTTTATGCCATTTATAAAACCTGCAGCAGTTAAATTCTAATGATATCCTGATACGGCGGTGAGCTGGGCCGAGTAACTGTATCATTTGTGTCTGATGCAAATAGGTGATAACTGTGAAAGAGAATAGTTTATTGAGCCATTTGTTCCTTAAACTTGTCACACTTTCTAAAGCTACTTGTATAGAGGTGTAGAGGTCACGATACACAACACATTTATTACATTTAATCTCCTCTTCATCAGTGCGTCAGGAGGATTTAGAAATATGTATTAACATATCACAGAAACAAGCTGTATTTATAGAGCTAAACCAGGCTATCTTTCGACATGTAGCTCCCTTATGTCCAATCCCTATATACTCTCATTTACTTGTGTCATGTTTAGGAGGTTATCTTGCTTCATCTTTTGCATTATTTACAAAAGAAAAGGCATTCAGTGTATTTTTAAAATGTGACATTGTATAATCGGAAGACTTCAGAATAATCTTTAAAAAAGGTTAGACGGAAATCAAATGGTTGCAATGATTGAACTTTTACTTTTGAACAACCAGTGATGAAACACCCCCAATGCATGCTAGGTAGGCTCCATCTGACCAGGATTAGCAATATTTGTTTCACTTGTGTTTGTGTCCCTGGGAACATTTAGGATTTTTTGTAATACCTTGTTGTCTTGGAATTTAATGTCTATGAAAGTGCATGAAAGATAAATACAGTATACAATGTAAGGTACTTGTATTATGTTGCATATTTATTTGTAGTAGAAGTGGGTTTTTCATGTGTAATAATGGTTGAAAGGATGATGACCCGTCCTTGATTGTTAATAACATGACAGGAGTTGATTTTTGTTGTGTCTATGTTACTATAGTGTGTAAGTGTGTTTGACTGATCTGTGTGGACCCTAGGAAGAATAGCCACGCTCATGCCAGTGCTGATGGGGATCCCCATAAAGACAAGACACAGACATATGAAGCCTGTGTGTGAATGAGCTCCATCAGTGTGTGTGTGTGTGTGTGTGTGTGTGTGTGTGTGTGTGTGTGTGTGTGTGTGTGTGTGTGTGTGTGTGTGTGTGTGTGTGTGTGTGTGTGTGTGTGTGTGTGTGTGTGTGTGTGTGTGTGTGTGTGTGTGTGAATGACAGTGATATTATGAGTGCATTGTGGACAGCTGGGCAGGGATGTGGCCGTGCCTCTATGCGAGCATGTGAGTGTGTGAGTGTGTGTGTGTGTGTGTGTGTGTGTGTGTGTGTGTGTGTGTGTGTGTGTGTGTGTGTGTGTCTGTGTGTGTGTGTGTGTGTGTGTGTATGTGTGTGTGTGTGTGTGTGTGTGTGTGTGTGTGTGTGTGTGTGTGTGTGTGTGTGTGTGTGTGTGTGTGTGTGTGTGTGTGGGCTGCTCTGCTCTGATAAGAGGTTATCAAGATGAAAGGAGGAGGGCAGGAATTACAGGCCCTCAGCTCTCTGTCGTGCAGCAGCACAGACACACACAGACCTGCAGCGAGCTCGTGTAGCGTAACTCAGGCAGTCACTGATTACATGTAACAGGATCACATAAAAAAAGATCACTGTATTCCGTTACAGTTACAGTTATATTATACTTGCAGGATGTTACTTTCAAAGAAAGAACAATGCATTAAGAAGCTCCTGCACACACCTTTACGTAGGCATGGCAAGGCTTACCTTAAATTGTTAAAATACAATGCAATACGTTACTTTGTGATGCGCTACATTTTGGTACGGTACGGTCAGTTCGATACTATACGATACAATACGATACAATACGGTACATTACGGTGCGATACGATATGATACGATACAGAACATGCTATACATTACTGTAAAGTAAGGTACAATACGATATAGTAACACAATACTTTGCTGTCAGGTGAAGTGCATTACAGCAGCAAGGACAAGATATTTAAGAAAGAAAACTGACTTTTAACAAAACATCAAGACCCGCTAACTCTGTATTTAATTTGAAGATTGACTGGTGCGCAAAAGAGTGCTTCATGTCAAACCGCCCTGATTGGACGGTTGTTCGGCTGGCTGACGGATGGTGTTGTGTGTCAGCAGTGGACTTCGGGGACAGCTTTTCTAAATTCCCAAGAAACCGGCTTCTGTGTAGGCGGGGGTCTTATCTCTGCCATGCAGAGATGCAGCCACATACCCAGGAGAGCTCACACACACACACACACACACACACACACACACACACACACACACACACACACACACACACACACACACACACACACACACACACATACATGTTTACTCATTTAAGAATTACTAGAATCCATGTGCTTTTCCCTAAACGTGATGTTTTGTGTGATATGAGTCGCCTGCACTGACTAATACAGTAGATGCTTCAGTAGCCAGAGGTTTGCATCATCAGAGCTTTTGTATTGCTGATTTTGTGTAATCTCAGTATTTTGATGCACCTCTGGCAGTATATACATGACACACACACCATGACAAATCATTACATTTCATTTAGCTGATGCTTTACATCTTACAATAAGAATAAACCATGAAGATACAAACTCAGAACAGCAAGAAGCATGCAGCTACATTAGCTTCAAATGGCTAATAGTGAATCATTCAAATGAGCTAAAATCCTTCAAGTACTACATTTTATTTTGAAATGTTATTGGTTTAATAGCAAGGTGCAGGCGAAACAGGAAAAAGCACGTCAGCATTACCTCAATGTATTTAACTGTAATTGCTTTTCTCACTTTTCACTTTCATAATAATTTGTTTTTTTGTGTTTTATGTTTAGTGCAGCTTTTAACTGACCTCAAACCATGACTGTTGTTGATTTAAGAATGCTGGAAACAAATCTGATGATTTATAATAATAATGACAACAATAATAATAATGAGGATAATGAAGATAATAATAATTGTGGTATTTCATGTACAATTAATTATCTTTAATTATGTCTATGATTATGATTGTCAATTGTAATCTCATTATGGCTAATGGCGTAATTTACTATGACATAGAGTAAAAATAATACTGTATATTAGTAAAGTATATTAGCTTGTTTCAGAACTACTTTCAAGCTTAATGATGTTTACACACGTTAACATTAAAACTAAATATAATAAAATATGTTGTTACGTCTTATGGCACATTTATTTCAAATCAGTCCTGCCGTATTTAAATCTGTTTTTAAATGTTTGGCTGTACAGGAAGGGTTTGTAATGTCTAAGAATTGCTATAGGATTTTTTTTAAAGGATTGCTACTTTCTTTTTAAACCTTTCACTTATTACAATAATACTTTATTAAAGAGATATAAGCAATCCCAATGTAAGTTAACATGTATATGAAGTGGTGGGTTGTCTGCTTTTGTATGGGTTTACTTTAATATTGAGGAGTAAAAACTGATAAAAAACATGAATCACTAAACAGATAACAGCCGCTCCACCAGAGAGCACATCCTGTGAGGAAGGTGAATCACCTGAAGCCTATGCTGCCCCCTAGTGGTGCAAAAAGAGATCATCCAATAATAGTTGACAGCAGATTGCTTGGTAATTGGAAATACTTTTATTAGACAGTAAAGATTATATATAACAGATGAATGACATATTTATTTTACATGAATGTACATTAGATATGTGTCTATCTATAATAGAAAATGTTATAATAATAATTTCTTGAAGTTTTATTTTGAAATCAGCTCTGTGCCAAGTGCCAACTGTCAAATGGTGCCTTCAAAGACTGATTTAAATACTGTAATTTAACAGGGAGAATATGAAACAAGAAATATGTTGGATTCTTTATCCTGAAATAAAGCCTTAGCCACTGAAATGCAACTTTATGTAACTTTTATTCAGGAAATATAAGCACCCCAAACATGTTCAGGAACCTACAATCCAGGGAGAAATAATGACATATTGAGGCTGTGAAATGTAATATACTTCTTACTTACTTTTTTAACAAAAACATAACGTAACAATAAACTGGGAAAACCCACAAACCAAAATGAAACCTTCAATAAAACAAAACAAATCAGAATCAAACTGAAATTTAAAAAAAGTAAAGACAATATGGCTGAAAATAATAACATAAAATAGACTTTCATTTGGGACTTTCCTTTTCGTGGCTAGCCCTTAGTACAGTAAAAACACTTTGGTCCACTGCTGATGAGACACACCTCACATTACATATCCGCAACATTCCGAGGTGCTCCTGAAGGCAGCAGCAGCTCCTGTGGAAACGAACCTGTGCAGAAGTGAACATGAACGACAGAAACAAGCCGGTGACCCTGAAAATCATCCTCGTAGGAAACTCAGGGTAATTACTAGATGATAGTGTTTTAGGAATATAATTTCTCTTGATGAAAAGTGTTGTTTTAGTGCTTCACCGAGATTTGTTTCACTTTCATTAACTCCTCTCCTTAACTTACTGCAGTGCAGACTGAAGTGTAAATACTTTACCAAAGTTATCATGTCAGTGTAGTCGTGAGATAACAGCTAAATTAGTATCTGAACGGAGAAAGCGGTTTTAGTGTGTTGTGTTCTACCTTTAATGTTTGTGTTGTTTACAAAGGGTGGGGAAATCCTCCTTCATGAACAGGTTTGTGAATCACCGCTTCACCAACATGTACCGGACCACCATCGGGACAGACTTCCTCTCCAAAACAGTCACCATGGATGGGGACACCGTCAACCTGCAGGTGCATACATCCATCACACTTTAAAGGGGCCCTTTTATGCTATATTTGTATTTCGTGCCTCTACTGTGACATGTTTACATGCTTTAATGTTCAAAAAGCTCTTTGTTTTTCTCATACTGCCTGTGCTGCAGCACCTCTTTTCACCCTCTGTTTGAAACCAGAGCCCAGTCTGCTCTGATTGGTTAGCTGGCCGGCTCTGTTGTGATTGGTCAACAGCTTAGAGATGTCCCGCCCCGTACAATGTGTTGCAGCGCTAGCAAATAGAAGAGCGAGTGTTACATAGTGATGTCACTATGATACAGAAGTAAACAAAGGAGTCAAATGGAGGCGTTTCAGGCAGTGGGGGGAGTGTGTGGGAGAGAAACTCCCTCTGGAGGGAACACAGGGTTAAAGCCTTTGCAGACCATTTACATGCACAAAAACCTATATAACACACTACAGGAAAGGGAACTAAATACAAATATGAACCTGAATATTAGCCCAACAGGGCCCCTTTAACATTTCCCACCATGATTGAATTCAAACTATTGTTTATATATTGATATTGAGTTTTCCATACAATTTTTTGATTTTTAACATTATTTAAGAACAAATAAATAAATAGATGTAAATGTTCCCTCCTCAGATCTGGGACACCGCGGGCACGGAGAGGTTTCAGTCTCTGGGAACACCTCTGTACCGAGGAGCTCACATCTGCCTGCTGGTGTTCGACGTCACATCCAGAGACAGTTTCTCCGCCCTGGAGGAGTGGAGGAAGGAGTTTCTGATCCAGGGAGAGCCTCAGGACCCAGACCACTTCCCCTTCATCGTGCTGGGCAACAAGACCGACCTGAGCGACAGGGAGGTCTGTAGTATCAGGAAGATGTGACGTAGTCAAGCATAGATACTATGATTTAACTTGTGTCATCTGAAGGTTGACATGAGTAACAGTATTTTTTAAGTCAGTAATTTTTCCATTAATCATAATGGCGAAGTTCAATTACAATCTTAAAATTATGCCTTAATATCTCGAAATAATAATACAAAATACTTCCTCAAAATAATGACAAACCTTAATATTTTTACTTAGGCAAATCAGACCAAAATGCATTATTACAGTTTCTCATTATAATGACATTAAACATTTTAATGGCCCATCGTCAGACAAATGATGGCAAACCATTTTGATAATCGTTCAGTCGCTTTATATATTTTCCATATTACAATTATTGTAGAAAATATAATCCACAATGGAAATAGCTGTTAGCTGCAGCCCTAAAATGTTATACAAAAACCAAATTGTGACTTCAGATTTTATTACATTTTTTGTATTTTTTCTACGTTCACATCTGCCCCGTTGTTGATTTTAATATGTGCATTTCTTGGCAGGTGTCTGGCGCAAAGGCCCAGCAGTGGTGCAGCGAAATCGGAGCACAGTATTTTGAAGGAAGCGCTAAAGCAGACCTGGATGTGGAGAAGCCGTTCCTGACAGCGGCTCGGAGCGGCCTACAGCAGGTGATTCAACACTCCCTTCTTTTAAATCATAATAGAGAAAATAAGAAAGACACAACATCTCTCTCTCTATATGTTTAACATGTTTATTTTTTGATGATAAAAGATACATTACTCCCTACAGTACAAAAAACACACATTGGAAAATACAGGACATTTCCAGATAACCTGCGAACAGCCGAGAGAAACTCGCAACGCCTGTGAGTGCTGAGTCAGCGCTCGTCCCCGAGAGGCCGGGGGAAAGTTCAGAGAGACCTCGGCACTGCTGATGATGACCTATCTAACGAGGGTGCAAAAATAGTGACCCAGCAAAGGTACTGTGGAAGGAAAAGGACACATTGTATACCACATGGAGAGAGGAACAAACTCAGTAAATGTTTTTTCAGTTTTTTTTTTTATCTTGAGAACCTTCAGCTTATGGTCTAACTTAAGGCATCACTACTAAAATACACTGCTTTTGCATGCATGTCTAGTTTTTGTTCAACAGACACACTGACACACACACACAAATTATGAATGCATATGAAGAGTTTTTGAGAAAGAAATTGGGAGAAAAGCACAAAACGAGAGAGACCGAGGCGCCGGCCGGAGAAAAAAGGCGGCAAAGCGGAAAACCTCGAATCTTCCTGGCCTTTTACCGTGACAAAGTAGATATACAGTCCTGCAACGCTCCCTGTACAGCTCGTCGTGTTGTAATGAACCTAGCAGACTCCCACAGTGAATCAGCTCGACAGAAGCAAACCATCAGGGAGACTATATATATTTATATATATATATATATTTGTTTCTTTTATAAGTAAAGACACAAAAAGGCAATCGAGAGATGACCGACATGTAAAAACAGTTTGTTACAGGTAATTATATAAAAGGCCAAGATGATGAATTTTTTTTGTTTGTTTTATTCTTGCTCTATGAACGAACTAATTTACAAGTGAGTACACTCCGGCTATGTAAGCTTTTTTCCCCCAAAAGACATCCCCATTTTCCACACGGGTTTTACACATCACAGTTAGCTTGCTGTAGTCTGAAATACAGAGTCTTGGAAAGGAAAAAAAAAAATTAAAATTTATTAAATGGATTCACAAACATTAATAGGAAAGGGGAACATATGTCTACTAATATAATTTGCCATTCTAAAAAAGAAAAAAAGGATAAAAAAAGCGGGGGGACAATTGTTTAGGTTATTAAGGGGGGGGAGGGGGGAAAGATCTGATGTTTTGTCCTCATACTTCGTGAGATTCCATGTTTGGCAAACAAAGCAACACAAGCATTGAGTAGTAAACAAAGTAAAAACTCTCCTGGGTCAGAGTGCCCTTCAGTCCTTCAACCTCGGTGGCTTCTACTTGGAACAAATACAAAAGTCTCTCTCTCTCGTTCATTTACCTTCTGTCAACAAGAACATACAACCGGCTGAATGAAGATTTCTTTTAAAAATATAGTGGCAACCTCAACACAGCCACCGATCTTCCCACAAACACAAATTATGGGGATGAACAACAATTAAAAAAAGTGATGTTTTTTTCTTTTTAAAATGCACACGAGACAAACATACACACAGGAGGAAAGAAACAAAAAAAAAAGCTTAAAAAATACAAAAATAAACTACACAAGATCTTCTGCGTCATTGCTGCTTGCTAATTTTTTGGGAAGATTTGTGTGTGTGTGTGTGTGTGTGTGTGTGCTGCAAGTCTCAGTCCTATAGCAATGTCTGTCATTCATTCTCTACAAATCTCTTCTTGTCCACGTCGAAGAAGTGTCGGCCACCAGTCCTCACGTCGGGTAAAAAGCGCACAGTGATGACATTACCAGGAGACTGGAGTCCAGTACGGCGAATACAGACTTGGTTCTCGATGAAGCAAATTTTTGTTTTCAGCAAAAAAAGAAAGGAGAAAAATTATGTCCTCTGTCGCTGAGGACAAGTGCTTTATTTGTATCCATACCGATTTTTCCTCTCATCTGAACTAATGCCTCCACAGCCTTTTTTTTTTTTCCCTCAACACTGTACATCATTTTGTGTAGTCTCTCTCTACATCCCCTCTTGGATTCACAAAACAAAGACAAAAAAAAAAAAAGGTAACATTGCGCTCAGGCTGGCTCCCAGTTTGTGAAAGGTGTAAATGCTTCTCTATACTGCTCAACTACTGAAACAAGCCAAAAGTAGATGTTAAACGATGGAAGGGGATGTGACAGAAAAAAGATAATGTGCTTCTAAGTTTGTGTTGCTCTAAAAATAGTACAACCAACAGAAGGAGGAGGAAGGAGGGTTTTATCTACAGAAACATCTCTCAGATTGACTTTCATCTCGGCTTCATACGGTTGTTCTGCCTCCATTGCTGTCTTGGTCTGAGACTTGAAGGGTGGAGGATGAGATTAGGATGGAGAATGAGGTGGTGGTGGTGGAGGAGGAGGTGGAGGAGGGGTGAAGGTCAGTCTTCCTGATAAAAAGGACAGCGAGTGGAAAAAAGGACAAAAGACTGGGAGGGGTCTCCGGGTGACCTCACTGGTCCGTCCTCGCTTTCTTTGGACCGGCAGCCTTACTGCAAATGCAAAGAAAGAAAAAAAAGGAAAACGGGATGAGTGTTGCACGGTTGATACTCCAGTGTGCACAGTGTGAAACATGTACAGTACTTACGTATCAGGAGAGGTGCCTGGTCTTTTTGGGGCCGGTTTTGCAGAGGCGGCGTCTTTGCCGGATTCTAGAAAAGCAGAACGATTTGTTAAAATATCTCTTTTTCCAATAATAGTTATACACAAAAACAGTTGAAAATAAATGAACTATCACAAAGCATAAGAATTGGGAGGGATGAAACCCTCTTTAATGGCCACACATGCAGAGCACACAGCACACACAGTGACATGTGTTCTCTGCATTTAACCCATCCTAGTACCAGGAGTCTAGTACCAGGAGTCTAGTACCAGGAGTCTAGTACCAGGAGTCTAGTACCAGGAGTCTAGCACCAGGAGTCGAGCACCAGGAGTCTAGCACCAGGAGTCTAGCACCAGGAGTCTAGTACTAGGAGCAGTGGGCAGCTATTGCACAGCGCCCGGGGAGCAATGGGAGTGAGGGTGGAAGGGGGGTGTCCGGTGCCTTGCTCAAGGGCACCACGGCAGGGCAGGAGGTGAACTGGGACCTCTCCAAGAAGCAGTCCACACTGCATATTTTAGGTCTGGTCGGGGACTTGAACCGGCGACCCTACAGCTCCCAGTCCAAGCCCCTACTGACTGAGCCACTGCTGGAGATTTGTGACATTGGACACCCCAATAAGCCATCTGAACATTAAAGGGGCCCCATTATGCTTATTTTCAGTTTTCTTTAGTATTTTATACCTCTACTTTGACATGTTTACATGCTTTAATGTTAATGTTGCCGACCATTTACATGCACGGAAACCTATACAACACACTACAGTACAGGGAAGGGAAAGCCCAAAGAGCACAATAGTGGCCAAGACAGTAAACACAAACCGTAACAATGTTTCTTAATAACAATTATAGAATTGGAGAGAATCCATGTATTATACATACAACATATGAGCGAAAGAAAACATTAAAACTAACACTACACACTCAAAACTAATGTAATCAAACACTAACTACTTAATGGTCCAAACACCAGTATTAAATATAATAAACACAGACACAAAAAACGGTGTAAATTCTAATGAATTTCAGTGTAGAGTCACTTGTTTAGAAGTCCTGCTGCCTCTTTTCAAATATCATAAGTAACTGATTAAATTTCAGTATTATTTTTGTAATGGTGCTCACCTTGCAGCCATCGGACTTGGGTGGCGGGGCCGTAGCCCTTCTCGTTACGGGCGGCGATGCGGAAGATGATAGCGGGCTTGGTGGTGTAGTCGATGTGGGCGTTGGAGAGGCTGGACGACTGCACCAAGCAGGAGGGGTTGGGCCCGCAGTACACGCGCATGAAGGCTAGCTGCGCTGGGGTGGAGGCCTTGGCTTCGGCTGTCTGGTTGCTCTGGATGGCCAGGTACACAGAGTACTCGATGATCTTCCCCGACGTCACAGAGGGCGGCTCCCAGGTCAGGTGGGCACCATCGGGGCTCTGCAGAGGGACGAGGAATGATTACTACTCAGTGCCTGGGAGCACGACTCATGAGAGCAGCTGCAGTTATCATGTGATTCCACAACGAAAAGAGAAAACAACAAGGGGAAGGGCTTCACTGTGGTGTTTACCTTGCTGATTTTGATGGCGCAAGGAGCCCCTGGGAAGCCTGGTAGGCAGGTCTTGAAAGCGGATATCTCTGAGAAAGATCCACGGCCACAAGCGTTGATTCCAGCAACACGAAACTTGTAAGCTGTGCCAGGCTGCAGCTCCATTTTCTTCATTTGGCTGTAGTCTGGCATGTTGCCAGAGTCATCCTGCAAAACAGAACAGAGATTAGGGATGCTCCCAGCACACAGTCATCTGAGCAGGAAATGAGCCTCCTGAAATACTTACATCTCCCTGAGACTCATCTCCTGGCATATAGAAGTGGGTCACGACCATATTTGTCACTTTAACGATTCCAACATCGAACCACTGGTTGTCTTTCTTTACAACAGCCTTCACCGGGGTTGGCTGTGGGGCTTGTTTCTGTAAGATAACAGAGATAGTCGGTTACATAACTCCTCTTCGACCTTAGCTGAACCGGCCAGATGTTGCACAATAACTCACCGATCCCTCGATCCCATTGGCCACATCTGCCAGGGCGGCTGCTGCTTGCAGCTTGGCTGGACTTGCCACCGATACAGATGGAGCAAATGTGCTCGAAGGAGCGAGTGCTGTGGAGGGAAAGGGAACAATACAGAAAAGGTCAATTTGCTGTAAAAAGAGAAATATTGATTCACTTTTAGATAAAAAGCACAAGTCTTACTCTCAGCAGTGGTGCGTGGCAGCAGTGAGGCCACAGCGCTGGTGACTGCGGCTGCCATCTCATTGTGTCCGTTGCTCTCGACGGAGGGGTCGTTGAGGCTGTCTGCGGGGGCCAGGCCCTCAGTGGGCAGGTTGGCCTCCGCGCTGGCCTGCTGCGCCACGGCTTGAGCCTCCTGCAGCTGCAGCTGCTGCTGCTGCTGGACCAGCGCCGCCAGCTCCTGCTGGGTCAACATGATGGGGATGGTGGTGGGCTGCTGGCTCTCTCCAGAGGCCTCATCTTCATTTGAAAAGAGAGAGAAATATTTTAGAAATCATACTACATAACTTAACTACAACAACGTCATTAGGAACTGAAATAATTGGAGAGGTTGCAGTAGTTACAGAGCGAGAGCAGCTTGTCAGTGTTATTTGTTAGGAGGTATAAGAATACACAAGTCTTTCCATGTCTTTACCCTACACAGCCCTCGATCTATCAATATGTTGAGTGATCTGACAATGCGGTTGAACTCACTCATTACGGCTTGCTGTGCTGCCTGGAGGACGGCCTGGATGGCGAGCGCCTGGGCTTCTTCAGTCGCAGCTGCCTGAGCAGCGGCCTCTGCTGCTGCAGTCACAGCCAGCTCCTCGTCCGACAGCCCCGTCACCATCAGTGTGGCGCCCTGAGCCTCGGCCATCAGCTCCGAGGGCAGATTCAAGGCTGTAGCTGCGGCTGCTTCACCCTGAGAGAACATATTATAGGTCAAACATAATATATCTTTGAAAGCATGGACTTCAACAGAGAATGGTGATTATTACACTATATTTACCTCGGCTTGTGTCTCCATAGCAGACGCTCCTTCTCCAGCAGGTGCAGCTTCTGCTGATGCGGTCTCATCCGTCTGCATGGGCTCCTCTGGGGAGCCGGCTGAGATGGATGAGATCGACTGGAGAGAAACAGAAGAACAAACCAAGATTAGTCACAAAGCGAAAAAAACTACATTTTAGAAGTTTCTCTCTTGATGAATAGTTTAGTGTATAAAATGTCAGAAAACGAAATGTTTGAAAGATGTCCAAGACAGTTTCTCAAAGTCCAAGGTTATACTTTTTAATGCCTTGTTTGCATCACCCCTAATAGAAAAGTGCATTTCTTACGGGTACAGAGGGTCCGGGAGCGGGTGTGGACTGAGTGACAGTAGTGATGGCCCTGCCCTGGGTGGTGGTGGTGGTGGTGACAGTGCTTGTTGCTGCAGTGGTGGGGTCCACTTCCGTGCTGGTGGTACTTTCTGCTCCCTCCTCCGTCTGCTGGCCTGCTCGGAGACACAAAAACATAATGTAAGCTTGACTTCATACCAATACAAAAACATGACATCTATTCCATAACCATATGTGTGGGTTGCCCGTACCTTCGCCTGTCTCCATGGTGCAGGTGGCTGTGGTGGCTGTGTTGGTGGTGCCGGTCTCGTGTGTTTCGCAGGGCGGGTTGGAGCACACTCTCTGGACCGGGCCTCCTGCTGCGCTGCTCTGGTCTCCCCCCATGCTGGAGGTGGTTGTGGACGGGGTGTTGGTGGTCCCGGTCTCGTGTGTTTCGCAAGGCGGGTTGGAGCACACCCTCTGCGCGCTGGTGCTCGTCTGGCCCGTACTCATGTTGGAGGACGACTGGGTGGATGTGTTGGTGGTACCCGTCACGTGGGTCTCGCAGGGCGGGTTGGAGCAAACCTTCTGGACTCCCCCCATGCTGCTGGACGCTGTGGTGGCCGTGTTGGTCGTCCCGGTTTCGTGGGTCTCGCACGGCGGGTTAGAGCACATGCGTGGCGTCGACATGTTTGATGAAGCCGTTGTGGCTGTGTTTGTTGTGCCCGTTTCGTGCGTCTCGCAGGGCGGGTTGGAGCACACTTGTCCTGCTCCCATCGCAGCGGAGGCGGTGGTGGCCGTGTTGGTGGTGCCGGTCTCATGGGTCTCGCAGGGCGGGTTGGAGCACACGGTGCCAGAGCCATCGCCAGACGCTCCGGCTTCAGAGGAGCTGGGCTGCTCGGAGGTGGGTGAAGCCAGGATGGACACTGGTAGGTCCTGCACTGGCTGAGCTTCAACACCGCTGGGAGTTGTGATCAGAGTCACCTGGGTGGGCTGGTTCTGGGCCGAAGAGACAGTAAAGATAAGTTCTAAGAGTCCCACAGCATGTTTCATACTCAAATCTTAAACAAATCAAATAGTAGGCTTACTAGCTTCTACAGGCTAAAGCAACTAAAATCTCTCACCAGCAAAATACCTCGACAGTTTAAATGACATTTTACGTTTCATTACTGTTTCATTATTATACGATACAGTATTTATTATCATTATAGTATTACTATTTCGGCGATTAGCTAAAACATAAATTATATTTGATGCAACTTTAGTTAAATTTCCATGACTTTTCCAAAACTTTGGGAAAAATATTGTTTTCCATAACTTTTCCAGGGCATGGAATTAGCATTTTGAATTTCCATGACTTTTCCAGGTTTTTAATGACTGTAAGAACCCTGTTATTAACTATTATCCTAATGTTTTTGTAGCAGTAACTTTGTTAGTAATTTTCTAGTTATGAAAAAGCATAAACTCCCTAACCTTCAGTTATTTTTTATTCTAATATAGTTACAAGGGCTGCAATATTAATTGAAATGTTGGACTATTGCAATATCCAAATCGCAGCTCAATATTTGCCAAATGCAACATTTCTTAAGACAGACTTCGCCTGAAGAAAAAAAGACGTGCAGATTCTTACCTGCACCGTCATGGTGGAGGAAGAGAGGGTGGTGGCAGAGGTCATGCTGGTCTGAGCGGCTGACACAGTTATGGACGCCGGGCTGATGACCTGGCTGGACAGGGTGGCGATGGTTCCCAGTGTGGTGATGGGGGTAACCAGAGAGGCGTTGGAGCTGTCTGCAGCGGCTCCTGCCAGGCTGGAGGAGACGGTACCGGTGACTGTCCCAAAAGTGGTGACACCTGGAAGGAAAATAAGAGGTTTTATTAGGCATGTGATCTCTCCTGCCTTATTTTAGGAGATACAGGAGCTTTAAAACACAGACAAACAGACTCAAAAACAGTTTCTACCCCTGGCCCACAAGGCTACAGTCCTAAGTACAATACTCTTTTAAATACCTAACTCGTATGCACTTCATAGCTTTTGATGCCATTGTCCTTGAGTATTTATCCCCCCTGTATGATGGTTTACCTTTGTCTACCCTACTGGGGGGTTTTATGTTTGTCTGTTTTTGTCTAAGGCACACTGTGACAGGGTTGCACTCCAAAAATCTCATTATATATTTTTGCACAATGACAATAAAGGCTTTCTATTCTGTTCTTTCTGAGAATAAATTGAATTTTTTTTTACAATAACAAAGTATTCTTACCTGTCGTCCTATTGACAACCAGAGTGGTCACATTGGGCTTAACAGAAGACATGGTCACTGGTGTCACAAGTCGAACACCACCAACTGTGCTCATAGGCACAGTGCGCAGGATAGTGCCAGGTTGTCCATGAGCACCCTTCAGGACGACCTAAAGACACACAGTTCAGGATTAGTCACCGCAGGTGCAACATACATGGGCAGAACGACAAAGTTAATCTATATAGAGATATCTTTAACTGCTCAATCAGAGTCAGTGTACCTGTGTGAGTCCCTGTTGTCCGGCAGTGGCGAGTTTGGGCACTGCAGTGATGAATTTACTGGGAGTTCCTGTAGTCATCACTTTGGTGGTGAGGATCGTGATTGGCGTCTTCATGCCTCCACTGCTTGTCACACCTGAAGGGACGAAAGCATGATTGTAAGTACATTTTCATCTAAGACACACAAAAACCAAAGTTAGCTAATTGACACCTACAAATAATTCAGATGTTTGTTTCAAAAGGTTATGGCAATTGCAGAAACAATGTGTAAAAATCGTAAGACAACACCATCATTACTTCTCTTTATCCAGGCGTTGACCTGGTTCAAACTCTAATTTTTGAATTTCTGTTCTCTGTTGTGATATGTAGTAACTGAAAATCAAACTTGCGTGAGTTTAGACCTGCAGCTCCAGACTGGCTCATGATTGCAGACATGGGGATGGTCTTAATGATGGTGGTGCCCTGCTTATTGGTGTTAGGAGAGACCCCGCTGATGTTGAGGATCGTGGGCTTGTGTCCAGTGCCTCCTGCCTGGGAGGTCGTGATGATTGTTGTGGGCTTACCATCTGCGGAGGTCACCAGCTTAAGGATGGTGCCGGCTGGGAGGGGACCCTTTGACTGAGGAGAGAGAGAGAGCCACATGTTATGAGGATCAATGTGGAGAAGGACATCTGGTGTTGTCTCAGGAGTTTTAGACTACCTCCTGTGTGTTTTCCTGATTTTGTGCACATATCTGACCTGTAGGAGCTGTGTGAGAGGGTTATTGGAGACCTGGCCTGTGATAGATGTCTGCACTGGCTTGGTTTGTACCACAGACATCATCTTGCCAAGGTTGGAGATCTGCAGACAAAGGAGGAAAGCCCAAGTCATTATTTATGTGAAAACATGAATTGCACAGGGACTTCAGTTTTGGCTCAAAAAATCATTACAACTATAACTGAACATAGAGCATGCAGATCGCTAACACTATGCTTCCCAATTACTTAAGTCACTGTAGGACGGACTTCACTCACTCCCCCCATGGGTCAAGCTCAATGAACAACAAATAAAAGTGTGAAGAGGAAATGTACAGAACATGATTTACAGCGTGGATTATGTTCCAGTATTACATTGTGATAAAAAAAATGCTATCTTACCAGAGTGCCACTGCCGCCCATGGTGAGGGGACTTTTGACCAGGGTGATGGTCTTGGTAACTCCTCCCACCACTGTGGTAACCACCTGGGCCTGCTGGGCCACAGTGACTGCTCCAGACTTATGCACAGTGATGATGGGTCTGGTGTTGGTGGCAGAGGAACCAGTAGCTGTTCCCACCTGGGCTGCAGCGGTCTTCAGCATCCGGGTGGCTGGGTTACTGACCTACAAGAACAAAAATACTTATGAGAACTGATCCGTGACGGACAGAATGCACTTAATGTTGGACCATTTAGTGAGGACTTTACCATGAGTGGAGAAGCCATTTTCATTGTGGTTGTGCCAGGGGACATGGCTACAGTTTTGAGAATGGTGGCCCCGGCAGGAACATTGAGGACAGTGCCACCAGAGGGCGGGATCTTCTGTGTTGCTGCAGCTGCAGCAGCTAAAGCTGCCATGCCACTCATCTGAGGGCTACTTCCAATTGGCTGAAAAAAAAGACGATACAACATGTTTGGACACATTTCTTCACTAAGGATGATATACTTCAAGATAAAAATACAAGGGAAATTGTTCTTACCGATCCTTGGGTGGTCTGGGCAGGCATGACCATCCTTACACCCGGCGGGAGGGATGTCAGAGTGACGGGGGATTTCCCGGGCTGGCTGGGGCGGACTGTGACAATAGATGTGCCAGTGCCAGACTGTTGAGCCGCAACCTTCAAGACTGCTGAAACACAAGGGGACGGATGATTAGACTTCTTTGCACTTGTTGGTGTGGCAAAGACAGTGAACATGGCTGAGTTTGAAACAAGGAATTGTTGGTCACTAGTGAAGTACCTGTCTGGGGGAGATTCTGAGCAGAAGGAGCTGCAACAGCCAGTGCGGGGCCCTTCGGAGAGTTCAGAGGCTGCACGGGGCTGGCAATCATAGTTGCAGAGGCTGTAGCTGGAGTTGCTGGGATGTCGTACTTCTGCAGCTGCAGTAAGTAGGTGTCAGCGGTTGAGACGGCGCCCCAGCTGACCTCGAGAGAGTTTGTGTTGGCACGGACTAGCTGCACCCTGGCAGGAGCATGTGGCCGCTCTGTGGAGGAAGAGAGGTTTAACAACAATGATACTTTCACTACCTGAGCCGAGGAAGTCCCTCTTAGTATAAACTATGTTACAGCACACATACCTGTTTCCAAGTACCAGAGGTCTTTACAACAGACTTGGTTGTTCCAAGCTTTGCGATAACCGTCGCGGCCACTCCAGACGTAGAGTCGGGAATTGATGGCCACGGCACAGTGGCCGGCACGGGCCCTAGGGATGTTGTCTTCAAGAGTATCCATCAACACGGTCTCCCAACAATTGGAGTCTGCAGACACACACATAAAGATTAGTGAAGCCCCTTACACTGAAAATATACTTTTTTTTTTATAAATACACAGGTTATAGGTTATACAAACCTAGATTTAGGCAGGCGAGAGTGTTTGTGCACTTCCACTCCTTCTCGTGTGTGGCCACTTTAACGTCATCCATTACCAATGGAACCCATCCTCCAAAAACATACATCCTGCAAAAAATGAAATGAAATCAGTGAGATGCAGCTCCCAAAAAGCATATTCTGTTCTTCTGGGAACTCAAACAGGATCGAGGAAAATGTTCAATGTTATTGCTAAGGTCCAGCAGTATTCTCACTTGTTTGTGATGGTGGTGGCAGAGTGAAGACTTCTGGGTAGCGGTGCTGTCCCGTTTACTGATGGTTTGTTCCATGTCAGGGTATCTGAAGACAATGATGAGCAGTAGGATATTATATAAAAGGCAGTGTGAAAGGCGAGTGTTTTTAAACGCAACTATATAACCGCAGCTACAGGTAATTCTCCTTGTCAAACATTCAACTGTTTATCCTCTCTAAAGTGTGGCCTTTTTTCCTCTGTTCGACTTTAAATTGCAGCACACTCTCCGAGTGGCACCGGCTGGGCATATCTTTGCTGTCATTTTTCTATTCACACATTTACAAACCTACCGATATCAAGTGTCCACAGATCTCCAAGGCGACAACCACTCATGCCTCCGTAGATTATCAGGCGAGATTTCCTGCTCGTCTTTTCTGTGTAGACCACAGCAGTGTGGCTCTCACGCGGAGGAGGAAGGACTCCGTATGTGATCGGAATATCCCATCCAACCACACTGGATCCCGCACGCAGCTCAAGTGTGTACAGATCATTTAGGTATCTGAGGAAGAAAAAACCCAGACAGAAGTTACGCTTATGTTGCTTGTGGAAGTAAAATATCAAGCATCGTGTGCAGGAAAAAAAGCCTGCTGGAAAACAACATCTGTACCTGGGAATGTTGTTTTTTGGGTCCTCGCTGTCATTGGCAAGTCCACCAAACAGGTAGCATTTATTGCCAACCAGGGAAAAACTGTGGCCCAGACGAGGACAAGGAGGGGGGCCATTCTTCGGGTTTTTCGCTTTCAACTTTTTCCATTCCCATCTGCTGGCCTGTTGTGAAAAACAATGTTCATAACAACATTAAGCAATTGAAAAGATCATAGCAGAAGCAGTTACAAACACAAGCTGACCATCTTTCCTTTTCTGAGAATATGATAAAAAAAGGTTCTGTCAAAACTTAACCTGAAACCTAATCTTATTAAATGTTGCATTTATTTATGAATTCCTATTTTAATGTAATAATTGTACAGTCTACTTCCAAGTTGCTCATAATCCATCTTGACTCTTGTTGACAACTTGATAGGGGCATACCTACTTTATGTCAAAACCAAAAACAGAGAATATTTAAAGTGTAAACTTCTGCAGTATACACAAAGTGACGTTTTTGAAAGGAGGACAATAAAGACGCATTGTGGCACGTTGCACTGGCAGAATAACTAGCTTCTGATTAGCGTCACGTTTAATAAACACATATTTACTTCTTTAGGTCGCCCCTCCCCTGTCAAAACATGACTTCCCCAAAGCTTTAAAAAGCAGCTACAGATTAGTTATCTTTTGATTCAGTTGATGGAGCTTGGTGAACCCTCTGCATTTTGATTAACAAGTTTTCTAAATCCATTCAAAATGTTTTGAGGGAAAAAAAAGGAAATCACGATGCATCTAAGAATCTATTCTTTTTTTGCAAACCTTTGCACTGCATTAGCAATTCAATCTCATTATCTGGAGTGCACAGTGTGAATTAAAATACTCAATGGGACCCAAATTTGAATTTGATAAATCAGGATAAGGGTTCAATGGCCTACTATAAAATGTAATTTACTAAACTGCATGCAGCCCATAAATATCCACAGCCTCAAAACGTACAACTTAAAAAGATAGATTTACTTTGTTCGGCTGTTACTGTGCCTAAGTAAAAAAAATATCCCATAATAATGAAACTATAACTTTGTATCACTTAATTTAGAAACATTGCATTATCCTAATGCACACATTTAATAGAAACATGGAGATACATTTGTATAGATAGATAGATTACCTGAAGTTCATAGAGATCGTTGCTGTACTTTCCATACTCCACCATTCCACCAAACACCAGCAATCGTGTGCCATCACATACAAAACCATATGCAGCACAGCCAGGGGGAATATCACCACGGACCGCTGGGATAAACCACTGGTTTGTTGCTAGAAAATAAAACACAATGATGATTCAGTTGAGGCTTACTCATATCAATCCATTTAAACTATGACCAAGGTTTGTTATTGTCTAAACAAGGCTCTGAAAAACCTTACTATTACAACTCTCTTGTAATTATTAGTACATAAACCAACAGATGTATTTAAGGATGGGGATGAAAAAAACATGTTTTTATTAAATGTGTCTGTCCTTATTGGTTTATGTACAGGAAATTGGGGCATAGGATATAGTTAAACCAACCAGCATCATCCATTTTATTTTAGCCCGCCTTTTTTAACGTACAATAGCACCTTTCTCCAGCAGAGGGGGCCAAATGTAATCAGACACGGGCTTGTTTGGCCTGCTGAGGCCTGTACTCTACTTAGTTCTGCACATCACGAATCGATCTTTAGAAATAAAATAGAATGTTTTTTTATGCAGAGGCTAAATGCTAAAATGCATTGTTTACCATTTCACATCTGAAGATTTTATAAGTAAACATCATGGTCGCTGCCAACAGTCATCAGTAAAGTTATACATGCAAAAGTTATTATCTTACCAGTGTTGTAAACATGCAATTCATCCACTATTCCTTCGTTTCCACCACCGAAGACAACCATAAGCTCCTTTATGGCCACAGCTCTGTGTCCATGCCTGGGCCGGGGAACGGGACCGGACCATCCGAGGACCCGCTTCCACCGCGGCTGCAGAACCGACGCCGTGGAGCCAGGGGCAGACATGATTTCTGTCGGAAACATTAATAAAATAAAAAATTCTTGCCTGATGAAATGCTCCTGGTTGTACAAAGTTAACGACTGTAGAAACTCATCAGCAGGATGGAGCCGCGCACTGTGGCTCACTTCTAAAAACAGTGTGTGCCCCAAGCTCTAGTTAATGAACACATTCATTCATTAATAAAAACAAATGCGTAGTAAGAGCTTTCCAACTTGTACTGATTAAAACCCCTTCATATAGACGTGGAGTTGCAGTTGTGCAAAAGAAATACAAGGAAATGTTCATACACCCAAGTTTTGTTGTCTTCTAAACCATTGAATTCAATCCATGGAAGCAGCCATCTTGTAACCAAACAAACCCCCGCTAACACCGCTGCCAGTCTGAAAAATGGCGGAAGCGAATGAAAAGGAAAAATAGCTAGCCAACTACAACAGCGAAGGAACACAATAAAATGAAAACTAATCCACTAAAGTGATAGCGGTTGAAAAGAGGAAAACAATGCACATTTGCAGCACACACTTAATCCACAGTTAGAACCGTTAGCAAGAGTCGGCTATTTTCATGCTTCTCTGGGAGTCGCCATCTTGTAGCTAACTAGCTTAGCGTTATCTGCAATCCCTTTAACGTACTTATTAAGACTATAACTATATAAAACCCCAATATGAACAGTTGCAACAATTTGGTACACACATCCCTACAACCCAGTCTAAACACTTCTTAAAATATACTTAAAATGTAAGCCAAATCGGGATAATCAAATGGATGCTAACATTAGCTGAATTCCGTTAGCACAAGCGGCTAGTTGCTCAAACTCATTAGCACAAGCTAACAGCGTTAGCATCTGTCAAAGCGTCGCGCTATTTCACAATTAAATGCAATGCAATAACGTTTTATTCTGACATGCATATTTTACCTGATATAAATGTAGTTGCAACAACGCCCGTTACACACAGCTAAACTGAGATAAACTGCATATAGAGAGTGTTATTATGTTTCATGCCGTCTCTGGAAGCAGCCATCTTTTCGACACTCGGCCTACTTCTACAGCTCCCACAAGAAAAATGGCCGGGCGGTAAGCCACAACAAAACACAACAAACCCCAAAAAAGGCGCAAATATTTAAGATTATTACTCACTTATATCGATGCAGTAGTAGCAAAAACACGGGTTTGTGGTCTAATCTTGCGGCAATAATCCAAATTCATTCGATTTGTGAAGAAGTATTTCCTCTCATGCCTGCCTGGAAGCTGCCATCTTCTTGACAACCAGAGGCGGAGGAAAATGGTAGAGAGCTGGCGTCACCCAAAGTAAACATGGCGACTGAGACCCGCTCGCTAACCATTTCCGACAGAAACGCCTTTTAGATGTTATGGTAAGCCACCGTGAATAGACGAAGGGTGCTTAGTATAATGAGGTTTTGTACAGGACACTGAGAATACATATAAAGCAAGTTTCAGGAAATTACAACAAGTTGTGTTTTAGCGCTTGGCTTATTGTCCCTTACTAAAGATGGCGACATCCGCCCAGAAACCGCTTTATTTTCATATTGTAGGAAATGCTGATTTTATTCCACCCTGAATCTGCTTAGAGGGGGCTAGAAAACACAAAAATAGTGTTAAAACGGTGGGTAATTTACAAATTTAGCGCTCAAATGTACTACATTTGCCACGCCCACACACAACATTAGTTCTCTTTATACATCCATGAAGTGCGCCCTCCACTGATACAAGTACTGTATTACTATTGACATCAAATACTTCACCCTTTATTTACAAAACAGTAAACAATGTGATCAGCCATATTTCTTTGATGGACTCTCACTGAATGAAAAATAATAGAAAATGCTCCAAAATGTGGATATTTTGAAACATTATTAAAATTCTCAGTCTATTTTTGTTATTGAAAATAGATTAATTTGTGTGTTTGTCAGGAAAGTTAACGTTTGTTGACAATATACCCTGCATTTATTTAGAAAATATGGTTCTTGTATAAATAGGGGATAACCAAAAGGCACAATATATTTTAGCTTTCGAGAAATTAGAAACCCTATTGTACAATGGGGATGTGGTTTTACATTTACCAACTGCATTTCACTGGAAAGAGTAGCCTGTAGCCTTTTTTTTTTTTACAACACCTTAGGCAAAATCTGAATTAACATTTATATTACATAGCCCATTGTAGTTCCAGTGGTTCTGGAAGTCACGACTTGAAGATCTGAGTAGAAACATTACACAAAGCACGAATTTGCATATTTACTATGTTCAGAATCAAAATCCTTTGTTAGTTCCACAGCGGGGAAATGTGCAGTGTTACAGCAAAAAGTGGCATAGCAGGTAAAATAAAAAATGCATATAATAATACAGAATAAGCACAATTATTATTATAGAGAAGAAAAGCACACATTAGTTATAAAGACAAATAAGTAGGTAAGTACACATCCATGGCTAAAAATGATGAGCAGATAATGTTGTGTGAAGGCAAAATCGTATTATTTAATTACATTTTTCTATAAATGCATATCATTGACTTTGTTCACAGTTTATAATGAGGTTGGATTCATGTTTGATCATTCTCTAACTCATATATGTATGATATAATATATGAAATATTGTTATGTGTGCCTGTGTCGTTACTCAACCAAAATGTTTATTTCTGCGGCCTCAGAAGTTTCCATGTGTCAGACACTAAACACCGTCAGCTTCAGTTTTGCTATTGATATATGAAGTGTGTTATTATTGATCTTATTTACTATTTAATATATCTTTGCATCAATTATAAGAATCTAATGGAAATCTAAATATCAAAATTTAAATGAACGTGCTTACAGTATAACGTGGCCTGTCTCATTGACATTTTTTATTTTGCCTGAAAATCATATATATATATATAAGCAATAAAACAAGGAGAAGAAGGGGTTTGTGTTTTTTTCTTGATGATATAGTTTGCTGTCCTTTACTGGAATTTCAATGAGCAAGTAAGAACCATAATAAGAACTTGAAGGAGTCACGAGAAGACTTTTTCTGTCTGTTCAAAGCTATGCTCAGGTTAAAGATGCGTAAATCTGTGTTCACCAAACTTCATGTGCAGTAAGAATCCTAACTGTATATCTTGTTATAGAAGCAGCAAAGCTTCTATAACAAGAAGAAGCTTGTTAACGGGAGAGTCGGTGAGATGTCACTCAAACACAGTCTGTAGACGCCCACACACCGTGAGATTACCTCTAATCACCTGTCAATCAAAATCACCTGCATGTGCATGGGCATAACCGTGGGAATTTTTGCAGAATTTTATTTTTCTTGTCAATTAAAAAAAAAAAAAGCTGAAAAGGTCAATGAACGAATTAAGACGTGTCTACTTTAACATTGCATTAGTTAAGAGTGCAGCCAGTCCTGTCACCTGTTAACACCCACCTAACACACATTGTATCTGTTTTTGCACTGCTTTATGTGATACTCACACAAAGTACACAATATCTCAAACATAACATGTAGTTCGATACATTAAGGTGCCTCTTAATGACAGAGAAGCAGGCAAATCTTGTAGATGCTTTGTATGATGATATATATATATATTTTTATGTTTTGTCTGTAACCTCGCTGATGTCTATCTTGGCCAGGACTTTCTTGTAAAATAGCTCAATGAGACTTCCCCCTGGGTATATCCAGGTTAAATAAATAAATACAATAAAATACATCACTCTTTGATAACATGCTGTTCATGATTTCCCGCGTGCCAAGCGTCAAGGTGAGCCCTAATGCAGCGGCTCAGATCTAATCTAATGACGTGCCCTACTAATGAGAGACCACACACATTGCCAATCTATTTACCTATTGTCATTCATTCATATATATTTCAAAAAGGCATACAGGTTTATAAAGTAGAAACTGTTAAGATAATACAAATAATAACAATAATAATAGACAATCTGTCTACAGAAAAAAAATTGGAAATCCATAAAAAAACTTCCATGAAAAGAGTTATTATTGACCGTTGAACAGTCTTCTACCCTAAATCATTTGAAATGATTATCAACCTTGAAGTTTAGCCTCAGTTGCAGCACCGTGGCTGCTGGTGTGGCCGCCCAGGTCAATGAAGGAGGGGTAAATGTTGTCAGATTGAGAAAAAAATTCACCAGGAGAGTTTTCTTGACTAATAGAATGAATTCTGGGGGTTGGAGCTTAGACTTTCCGACTTTCAATTTTTAGGACCACCCTACGTGAGGCTAAACTTCAAGGTTGATGAGGGAGGGGTAAATGTTGTTGGAATTTGAATAAAATTCACCAGGAGAGTTTTCTTGACTAGTATAACGAATAAAAGCCAAGTCCCTACAGACTGAGCAAGTTTGTATTCACAACCTTTATACAGGGCTACCTCATACATGTCATATCAACAATTACTGCCGAAAAGATGCTTAGATTGACACTGATATGAAATAGATATGCATTACAAATGGCAATATATTGATGATATTCATGGGTTATTGTTTTAGAATATTATAATCTTAATTTCTCTGCAGCCTTCCATGCCAGTCCTTTATTACCCACAATTATACAAAGCTGTATATATGTAAACACCTTTAATTCTAACTATTACTCTCACCTTTTTTGTACATGTTTTATTCTTACATTTCTTTCTTTCTATAATAATAATAATTATTATTATCATGTGTGAATTCATATCTCTCCTGTTTTGTATCCTTGTTGCTGTGTCTACTAAGACACCTGAATTTCCCTACGGTGATCAATAAGGGTTAATCTTATTTTATTACTGCCATCTTTCAAAAATAAAGGAGGCAATTTGCATAATTCCCTGTGCACTTTTTGCATTACCTATCTAATTTAGATACTTGATGCACATTTGCTTTTGCAGAAACCTGTTTGGCACCTAACATACTGTATGTTTGAAACTGTAGAGGAAGTGCATCATTTTATAGAAGGCTCTAATTCAATAAAAGAAGATGTTAATAATGGGGTAAGCCTTTGATGATCTCCTCCAGGGACAGATCATCCGTGCTTACGCAATCAGAAAGACGGTACATTTCAGGACTTGATGTGATTAGAAGATCAACAGTTTAAAAACAAAAAGTACAATTGCACCAGCTGGTCGCGGAGGTCACTTAATGAAACTTAAATGTTTACTGATGGATGCAAATGTCTAGGTCAGTACATCTTTACCTCTGTGTCCTAATTAACTGTATAGGACTGCTTTTGTTCTAAGAAAGTGCCAAGATAAGAGCAGGATACCGTTGATTACGTTATTTGGGTTTTGGCCACTATTATATACACTGTGCGTTACTGCGAATGATACAGTGTTTTTATGGTCCTCTAATCCCATTGTCCAAAGTCCGGGGTTTTGTTAAGTTAGTCAAGCAATTCATTATTCAATCATTTAATTTGTTAATTTACGTCATGCAACACTATAAATTACTTCCCAGTCAACACTACTGGACTGCTATAGTCATAGTGCTGTAGACCAGTGCTTCTCAAACTTTTTTCAGTAATGTACCCCCTTTGAAACATTTTCTCAGCCAAGTACCCCCTGACCGACCCCGAACATTTTTGATAGAAAAAGCCTATATAAATAATTACAATATAGTGATGTTCCATCAGTGTGTGATTTATGAACTCCTTCATCCATGAATTACAACAAACAAATAACGAACCAATGAACAAAATGTTATATTATGCAAAAACTATAAAATACAATAAACAAATATTATAATAAAATGTGGTGCCTGATGTGCTACCATCCAAAACCCCATGCATAAACAAGAAAACAGCATTAAATAAGCAGTCACAATGCATGAAAGGGTTAAAAACAAAACAAAACATTGTAACAAAAATGTGCAATTACAATAAAAACTACGTAATAACACTGCAATGACACTATTAATGAGTTTTAGTTGCATTAAACTGCATTTGAAAATAGAAAATACAATTTAGTGTCAAAACATTGGCAAAAAAACCAAACAATTGTAATAATAAATAAATTATAAATTGCAATAACACTAACAAGTAATAATAAGAGCACTTTAGCACTCAATTTAGTGTGAAACGTGCTTGTCCTTCACTGAGCATCTTGGTCATCCTTGGTGGCAGAGAGGACACAGCAGTGACTCTTTTCCAGGCCCAGTCTGTTTCTCTGCTTTGTTTTGATCAGAGTCATTGCAGAGAAGGAGGCCTCACACAAATATGTGGATCCAAAGGGCAGTAGCTGCTCCAAAGCTGTTTTTCCCAGCTCAGGATGCTCCTTTTTCACACACACCCAAAACTGCGTGAGAGTGGAGTTTTCAAATGTCATCTTTAGGCCGCGGTCAGATGACACATCCAAGAGTTTTTCCTGGTGACAGAGAGGAAGCTTTTCTCTGTTTGCTTCTGACAGAAGAAATGGGTTTCTTACCCAATCAAGCTGTGCAGGTTTATCCTCCATGTCAGGAAAGTACGACTTGAAACTAACTATCAGGTTGGCCAAGTGTTCCTCTATAATGGACTTGACTGGAGCGCTCTGCACATCCTCACTGGAGAGGAAAGCATCTACCTGAGGAAAGCAGGTGAGATCCCCCTGTGTACATGCCCGTTTCCACAACTCTGCTTTCTTTACGAAACCACCCACCTTGTCATACAGGTTCAGAATGTTGGTGTTCTTTCCCTGCATGCACACATTCAGCTCATTCAATTTGCTGAATATGTCTGCCAGATAGCAAAGCTTTGCAAGCCAATCTGTGTCCTCAAACAGTGTGGCATAGGGAGATCCTTGCTCTGACAGAAAGGTGTGCACCTCCGATCGTAACTCCAACAGCCTGCTCAGTATCCTCCCCCGAGAGAGCCAGCGCACTTCTGTGTGTAGCAGTAGTTGGGTGTGTTCAGCTCCCATGTCCTCGCAAAGGCGGTGAAACAGACGCGCATTGAGTGGCCTTGACTTTATGAAGTTAATAACTTTGATGCTGTTGTTCAAAACGTCATGCAACACAGGACTCAGCTTTTTGGCCGCCAGTGCTTCCCTGTGTATGACACAGTGATTCCACTGCACTTCTGGATTTTTATCCCTAATACGTGCCATGAGCCCTTTAAATCGGCACGTCATTGAGGTAGCTCCGTCAGTACAGGTACAGTTTCTCCAGTCCAGCTCGTTTTCAATAAAGAAATCATTCACAACATTAAAAATGTCCTCCCCCGTTGTTTTCCCCTCTAAGGTATTGCAGAAAAGCACATTTTCATAAATGTCGTCAGTATCCACGTATCTCACGAAAGCAATGAGCTGAGCCTTACCGCTGACATCGGTCGATTCATCAAGCTGGAGTTTTCCCACAACTTGTTCAACAATATCTGCTCCCATTCGTTCTATTCTGCGTGAAACGGTGTCATTAGAAGCACCGTTTTGAACTTCTCCGCGGCACTTCTGTCCAGCATCGTCTCGGCCAAAACAACAGCAGCTGGGAGTAACAGGTCCTCAGCGATCGTGAACGGCTTTTTGGCTTTAGCGATGAGCAGTGATGCCGCATACGATGCCTCTAGTACCGAAAACCGGTTCTTGCTGGCCCCATTCGGCTGCCGAAGTACCAATACACACTTACGTCGGAGGGGGGCGAGAATAACCTGAGCAATAACAGTTAATGGCGAGTACGGCAAATACAAGTTGTACCAAGCATAAGCAAAAAAGCATTTTTTGTATTAACCTTTTTTATTGTTTTCTTTCGCGTACCCCCTGCAGTACCCCCACGTACCCCTAGGGGTCCGCGTACCCCCATTTGCGAATCACTGCTGTAGACGGTGACCTGACCCTCACATGAAAAGGTCTTCTTGACTTTTCTTTTTAACCTTCAGGGAAACATGAAGCACGGCCGTGATGTGGAGCTTCCGGAGGATTTCTGGATCCCCATCCCTCTGGAGACGAACAACATCACGTCCCTCAGCCCATTCCTGGTCCCCCAGGACCATCTAGCGAGCTCCGGCGTCTACTACGCAATGGCCCTGTACATGCTTTTTGTATTTATTGTGGGCACTTTCATCAATGCGCTGACAGTCGCATGCACCATCCAGAACAAGAAGCTCAGGTCCCACCTGAACTACATCCTGGTGAACTTGGCGGTTTCAAACCTTCTTGTGTCCTGCGTGGGCTCCCTCACCGCATTCCTCTCCTTTGCAAACAAATATTTTATCCTCGGACCACTAGCATGCAAAATTGAAGGTTTTATTGCGACGCTTGGTGGTAAGAGAAACTTTAAAAACACATATTTAAGTTATAGAGTTTTAATGAGTTTTATAATTCATGCTGTATATCGTTCCAGGTATGGTGAGCCTGTGGTCTCTCGCTGTGGTAGCGCTTGAAAGATGGCTGGTCATCTGCAAGCCACTTGGTCAGTTTATTTTCAAGCCTGACCATGCTATAGCTTGCTGTGCATTAACCTGGGTGTTTGCACTGATTGCTTCCGTCCCTCCCCTGCCCATTTTCGGATGGAGCAGGTAAGCATAAAAAACCAACATTTAACAACTTTAACACTTAAACATTGGGAATCTTGGACGTACACTCAATGCTCTTGTGGTTCTCTCTCTCCAGGTACATCCCAGAGGGCCTACATGTGCTCTTGTGGTCCAGACTGGTTCACCACAAACAACAAATACAACAATGAATCCTACGTCATGTTTCTCTTTGGATTCTGCTTTGCTGTGCCCTTTGCAACAATTGTCTTCTGCTACTCTCAGCTCCTCATTACGCTGAAAATGGTGAGGAAAAGTTAGAAGGTCGAGAACAGAATTTAGGAATGTTTTTTTTCTAATGACATTTTAATGCTGCTCAGGAACTTAATTTGTCCCATGATGCCTTGAATTCTTGTTTTTTCCAATGCCTCCATGGTGAACTCCAAAAACTGAGAAAAGTTGAGGAATTTAACTAAACAGTGAATGCGCTTAAATGAGAATATCAGTTTACAAATATCAATTAACTTGTGCAATATAATCCGAGTCTCATTTATCTAGGTGTTAGTCTCACTACTTTCCTACATGCAATATTTTGCTAAGCTATTATATCTAATACACAGAACCTGTTTTGTTATTAGAACAAACTCGACCCCGATTTACTACGTTTCAATAAAAGGGTCTTGATTCTTTGTTCACCTTGGAGGCATGCAGGAAAACATATTCCCTAAGAATTCAAGGTAACACAGGGTGAGTAGTTCCTATACAAATGATCAAATCAAATGAAATCAAATCAAGTTTTATTTATATAGCACATTTTTAAACGATTTTTGGTCGAGCCAAAGTGCTGTACATATAATAAAAATACCCTACAGTAAAGACACTTTACAGCAAATACAACAGCACAGTTTGTGCAGAATATCAGTATGAGAAAACGACACCCTCTGTCTTTACGATCATTCCGTTATAACTGCATCTCCTGTGTGATTAAACTATCTGGTGCAAGGATCACTAAACATGAAGAACTCAGAAGACATGACAGTCACTTCTTTTCCTCAACAGGCAGTGAAGGCCCAGGCAGAGTCTGCCTCCACCCAGAAGGCCAAGCGGGAGGTGACCAGGATGGTGGTCATCATGGTGTTTGGCTTCCTGGTGTGCTGGTTGCCTTACGCCCAGGGGCGGACTGGCCATCGGGACGTTCGGGACGAATCCCGATGGGCCGGTACTGAAGTGGGCCGGTCGGACGATGTGGGCCGCTCGGATAAGTCACTAGCACCCCCCCCCACCCCCGTCGACAATTTCCTCGCGGTATTTACTTGCGGCACCGATGTGGGCCGCTCGGATAACTCACTAGCACCCCGGGCCGGTCGAGAGTCCCGGGCTGATTTGTAGTCCCAGTCCGCCCCTGCTTACGCCTCCTTTGCCCTCTGGGTTGTGAACAACCGTGGGCAAACCTTCGACCTGAGATTAGCTTCTGTACCTTCTGTCTTTTCTAAATCCTCTGCAATCTACAACCCGGTCATTTATGTTCTCCTCAACAAGCAGGTTAGTTTGATGCATCTGTCTTATTGAAATCATATTACTTCTATGGAGTTAATGGTGTTTTTTAAAATAGTTTTTTAAAATATTTGTATTGAAGACACATAGAAAATACATTTGGTACATTGATAGGTTAGATTGAATAGTTCAAAGCTATAGCCATACATAGATGATCTTCACTTGAAGGCATACAATATTTAAACCACAATTATAACCAAAACAGACCATGTAGCCAAAATATAAGAGAGTGTTGTGGTGGGGTTTATTTTTTAAATGTGGATTTCCTTTGATGTTTCTCAGTTCCGGACATGCATGATGAAGATGCTTGGGATGGGTGGAGGTGATGATGATGAGTCGTCATCAACTACGTCAGTCACAGAAGTCTCCAAAGTTGGGCCTGCTTAATCTGAACATCACAATTTATCTGCCACAAATGACTGAACTGTAAATAATGGTAAATGTATGTGTGTCTTGGTCATATGAAAATATATAAATAGGAAATGCTTCAACTCATATAATAAAGAAATAACACATATTCTGCAAAGTAGAAAAATTCAAACAGGGTATGGTGTCTTTTTGTTGATGATACTGGTTTGAAGTACAGTTTCTGTTTTGTAAGGCCTTTACACACCGCAACAAGAGGCTGTAAAACAAGCTGTGTTGTTAAAGTAACTCATAGTTTACTGACATATTCAAAAAGGCATGATATTTTATGATGTCAAGTTCCTACAAAATCCCTAGTTTTTTACCCAAAAACTGCTGCAAAGGCGACCGATCATTTGTGGTCAGGTTGCTGTTACGTTGGATTATGTTGCATTTGAATTCCCGGTACCACTTTACAATAAGACTACCCTTATAAAGGGTGTACGAATAGTTTGTAATTCATTTATTAATTAGGTCCTCTCTGCATTGGCTAATTGGATTGACAAAGGTACAGTGAGCATCTTTGCGATTACACTAAGTTCTCAACGTCGTATGCACTCTTTAAGCTCAGAGATGGAGGCAATGTTACGAAAAGAGAGGATTAAAAGGGTTTAAGGGGCATTAACTCGTTAGTTAATGGTGTTTGGAATCAGATTAGCAGGCAAATACCTACGGCAGTCTTCCTTAAGAAAGTGGGATTAAGCTTTAATCGGTTTTTCATGTTAAGAACTAACGTGCAAGCTTATACCTACACAGGTGCACACATTTACATGCTTGTGTGTTCCTTGACTGAGATACCTGTACATTGTGTTCCTATAAAAAGGGAATCTTTTAAATTCAACTTCTTAGCTCCAAATAGCACTCATATTCATAATTTAAATCAGTGTCTTGCTTACCAAAAACAACTTTCAAAGGTTTACTGTATCACATGCAGTTAGATAAGCACCAATATACGATTTTCAATCCTTTACACATGCTTTATATCCTAAAGCAGTAAACCTGTTATCCTCAACCCCTCAAATATCCAGGTTGTATCCTCTTTGGCAGTACAGCAAGAACTACTAAATGAATTACACTGATTAAAGCCTACCCTAATATATGATTCAATTATAGTGTCATTAACCATTAATGGGGATGAGTAGCTTCCTGGGTACCTTTATAAAAGTCCCTCCTCCACAAGAGTTTAGTAAGAGGCGTTAGGGACGCAGACCACACAGCATTCATGTCTGCCTCTTAAAACTTTTACTCTTGTTATATGATATATATGATCTAGGCAAAGCAACAACAAGGAGAACACTTTCGGTATAACAATTGTTTTAATATATATAAATAGGCTAAATGAGAGGATCTCGGGCCATGGAGCTACCAGAAGACTTCTGGATACCTGTTCCCCTGGACACCAACAACATCACAGCATTGAGTCCTTTCCTGGTTCCACAGGACCACCTGGGGAACTTGTCTCTCTTCTATGGCATGGCAGCATTAATGTTCATCTTCTTTATTTTTGGCACTGCCATTAACGTCCTCACCATTGCGACCACTATCCAATACAAGAAGCTCCGGTCCCACCTTAACTACATCCTGGTGAACTTGGCCGTGGCAAACCTTCTCGTGGCCTGCGCGGGCTCCTTCACTGCGTTCGTCTCATTTGCAGCCAGATATTTTGTCTTTGGAACACTAGGATGCAAGGTTGAAGGTTTTTTGGCAACGCTTGGAGGTAAGATTCAAGTTGTAGTTTCGAAAACAATATACTTCTATTTGATCAAGCCCTTTTTTATTCCTGGACTTCATTAAAATGGTTTCAAAAAGGTTTTTTAATGGTCTGTCATTGTCGTTCCAGGTATGGTGAGCCTGTGGTCTCTCGCTGTGGTAGCGCTTGAAAGATGGCTAGTCATCTGCAAGCCACTTGGTCAGTTTATTTTCAAGCCTGACCATGCTATAGCTTGCTGTGCATTAACCTGGGTGTTTGCACTGATGGCTGCAGTTCCTCCACTTGTCGGCTGGAGCAGGTAAGTAACTAAAACCAACCTATTAAACTGAAGCTCTTCAACACTTGGAATCTTGGAGTACACTCAATGCTCTTGTGGTTCTCTCTCTCCAGGTACATCCCAGAAGGCCTGCAGTGCTCCTGTGGTCCAGACTGGTACACCACAAACAACAAATACAACAATGAATCCTACGTCATGTTTCTCTTCGGATTCTGCTTTACTGTGCCCTTCACCACCATCATCTTCTGCTACTCTCAGCTCCTCATTACGCTGAAAATGGTAAGGAAAACAAATGTATAAGTCTATCAGTAAAAATCATCTGGCTGTCTTTATGAGATATTAGTAAATTATCTTGTTGAATCATCTCAGACTTATGATAATGTGGATCTTAAAATATTGACCTATACTGATAAGCAAAAACATCTCAATATAGGTCTGTCAGAACAAGCTGCTGGTTTGATAAGTATTATACTTCTAGCCCCCTTAGTGTCTCTTTGGGTGTTCCCTATGGGATCCTCCTGGGACCACTAGTATTCATTAAACATGCTTTCAATGTAAACGTCCACTTTTGCCAACAATATTTGGAAGTTAAACTTTTTGTACGTACCCTGTGTGATGTCAACGGTGTTATATATCTTTCCAAAAAAAGAAAACCTAGTGTTTTCATTGCCAAATGTAATTTAAATTGAGTCTGTAGTCAACAAAAATCATTTAAACTTTGCATCCAGAAACTGGTGAAAACAAGTCTTGCTCTTCTTATAAGGCCAAAATACTTCTTGCTGCCAATTTTAGGTCTGGGCTACAATAATTTCGCAATGCCTTCACATGCTGGATACCGTCTCCCGCGGAACACTGAGACTTGTTATATATTTTAAACTCATTATTGTTCCTTGTATGCTTGTCCACTCGTACACTTAAATATTGGCACTTTCTTATAAGACTATCCTCTGTCTTCACCAACATCACTTCAACAGAGTATGGGAAGTTATTGTGTTAGCTCCCAGGAGCTATACTATCTGTCTCTAAAGCCGGGACTGACTTTGGTAAGAAGGCATTAACTATGGTGTTCCCTGTGTTTGGAATCAGTAATAAAATCACCCAAATGATTGGAAGCTGGTCCCTTCAGAGGCATTAAAGAGGATTTGAATTGACTTGAGGAAAGGCAGATTGGACTGATTGGTCTCCTATGTTGATGATTGTTTTTTTGACATTTTATTGGTGTGTAATTTATGTTTACATTTATTTCAAAATGATATGTTTTTTTGACTTGACCATGACGCTCTTGAGAAGAAGATTTGTAATCTCAACGATCTTAATCTTAAGACTTATTTAGTAAAAGTTTATCCTTCTGATGCTGTAACTTCAACACAGAGTGGCTGCAAATATACTTGCTTATTGCTGGTTATACTACTGGCTTAATAAAAAGTATTTAACCCAAATCACCTCTCCTTTCCACCACAGGCAGTGAAGGCCCAAGCAGAGTCTGCCTCCACCCAGAAGGCAGAGCGGGAGGTGACCAAGATGGTGGTCATCATGGTGGTGGGCTTCCTGGTGTGCTATTTGCCTTACGCCTCCTTTGCTCTTTGGGTTGTGAACAACCGTGGGCAATCATTCGATCTAAGATTTGCGACCATACCTTCCTGCCTCTCGAAGGGCTCTACAGTCTACAACCCTATCATCTATGTTCTCTTCAATAAACAGGTCTGTTCAATGTTGTGATGCACAACAAATTCAAAATCTATTTTCAAGTGCTAAAATAGTCTTTGTCCATAATCTTCTGTTTCTTACTGAGTCATAAGGTGTATTTCATTTAGCCTTTAGAAGACCATACAATTACTTCCTTGCAGAAGTTTTGAGTCAACGTTTTTTTGTATTGATTGGCACACAAGATTCAAGATTCAAGGCTTTATTGTCATGTGCACATTAGCTAAACTTAAAGGGGACCTATCATGCAAAATGCACTTTTGTACGTCTTTTATACATGAATATGTATCCCCGGTGTTCCAGGGAACTCACCAAGTGTCAGAAAACACAACCCTCTCTATTTTCCTCCATACCCAAATCTCTAAAAAAGGGGCTGCAACGGATCTGATAAAAACTGATCCAGATTTGAACACTGTCCTGACGTCAGGACAGTGGCGCTACGGCTATTGGGCCAACTCCACCAATCAGGAGGAGACAGCCACGGCCATTGCCGTTCGAAAGCGCTGGAGACGCTGTAGTACATATGCCAGGCCAGTGGATGGTGCTGTTCTCACAGAATCTGTCCTTGCAAAAACAGAGCTAAAAAATGTCAAATTGAGCAAAATGAGGCATGGCTAAAATGCATGATCTGTTTGGTATTTTGAAAAAAAAAAAGTATAAATATGCCTTATATTGGTATGGTCCTACACTATATTATTCAAATATAGCATGATAGGTCCACTTTAAGTCACAGGCTCCTCGACAACTCGTTACAGCAAACATTTTCCATACATTTCAGAATCAGGATACCCTTATCCGTCCCACAGTGGGGACATTTACATTTGTTACAGCAAGAGAACATGTTAAATGTGTGGAAATATCCTGATAGAAGTTAAAAGAAAAAGGAATAAATCCCACTGAGAACGGTGCATTTTGCAGTTTCTGGTGCAGTGCCTTTTTTGAGACCACCACTTGGGAGCGCCAAAGTATTTCCTTTGTTATTTCACATGTTCCTTTATGGTACATGTAGCGTTTTTTCCCTCGTTACACGTGTTCACAAGAAACCATTTCCATCTGAACTTCAATTATCTGTTTTTATTTCTCCTACAGTTTCGTTCATGCATGATGGAGATGATTGGTATGGGTAGTGGAAGTGATGAAGAAAGCTCAACATCAAAATCAGTGACTGAAGTCTCCAAAGTTGGTCCTGCTTAGACTGAACATCGGACTATAACCACTATACTGATTTTGAATTGTAAATAAGAATACATATAAAAGTGTTTTGTCATATGAATTAGTATGGGATGGGAGGCGTGTGGCGCAGTGGGTTGTGTGTTGGTGTTCGGATCAGGGGGTCACAGGTTCAAACCCCACTGCAGTCAGCATGTCGTTGTGTCCCT